ACAAGTACAACGCGCTACACTAGATAGTCGCTCCTCCGTGTGGCTAGGATGTTGGTATAATACAGTGGTGTGTGTGTGTGTGTGTTCATGGTGAGGACATCCCTCCTATGCTCTCCTATACTTTGGGCCTGGTTCTCAAGAGGTCCACCGACTTTCATCGATCAAAAAATCCACAACGCGGCAAACCGTCAGCGTTGCTACTACAACCATAAAGAGGCAAGTTGTGTTGTGTTGGTGTGTCTGAGAAACATGTATTGGTCAAAAGTCACGACAACCGTTCAACCTTGGGCGCTACCAACTCTGTCTGCTTCAATGACCTGCCTGCTGCCCACATCCCAGACCTCCCGAGGGAACCTCCTTAATTCCCGCCGACGGCCTCGGGCGCCTTGTGCGGATCAAAGCCATACTTGAGCTTGAGACTGTCGACGAGCTTGATGTAGCGCTCCTCAGCGGCCTCGGCGGTGGTACCGGCATCGACCTCCTTCTGCCAGGCCTTGTGCTTCGCTTTGCCCTATTCACGAGAGACAAAGAATCGGGTTAGTGGCATGGACTTCTTTTTGGAATGGAAATATGCAAAGTGAGATATAGGGTTGGGGTCTGGTACCTTCAGGTCGAACATTCCTGGAGCGGGAGCCTTGGAGATATCCTCGCCATTGGCGACCTTGAAGAGGGCGTAGAGCTAGATATCACGTTGAAATTAGGTTAGAATTTGTCAATGCTCAGGTCTTGCTTTGGAGGGAAAAAAATCATAGGGCCGTCCAGGAACAGAAATGCGGGATGCTCAGAAGCTTTGTGACACGGGGTTGGCGGCACAGAGCTGCTAGGGGAAGATGCCTCCACATCTCTCATCGTCTTCTTTGCCATAAACGGAGAAAGGTGTCCGCAAGAGCATCCAACATTTTGCAATCATTTGCCATGGTCTCACCAACCCGATCGTAGTGGGGGTTCGTGTCTCCTTTCCTCCCGTTTCTTTTTTCCCAGAGCCCCTCCCTCACATTCTTCTCCACCGAAAGTTGCCAGCAAGGAAAGACATGTCAGATAGGAACTCACCTCCAATAACTCGTCATTGCTGGGCTTGGCCTTGAGCAGACGACTGTCGTCGGCAGCCTTTTGAAACGCTGCGGAAGGCATCTTTTCAACGTCCCGGAGATTGTATTTCGTTTCCTTTTTTTCTTTTTCGAACTAAAAGGCAGGCCCTGGCTGCACTCGCAAAGCTGAGAGGAAGAGAAACCTCTGAGAGGGAGGCTTGGATGGAGTTAACGGACGGTGTGGAGGGGTGTCTGCGTTGCGTGCTCAGCGTTAGCACCGACTGGCCCTGTCACAAGAACCAGTATAACAGAGACAGCTGAAGGGTGAACTGGCTGCTAGGCAAGATCTAGAGCCGGATCGACGGCGAATGTCTGTGGGAGGGAATGTCCTCGATCCTTCAAGGACTGGAGGTTGAGACACCACCTCTAGTGTCACCGCCTACCGTGGTGGTGGTAATGACGCATTGATCACTTGGAGGGGTAATAGAGACAGTAACTGACCTCTGGTGTTTCTTGGGTGGCAGGATACTGTATCAAGATTCTGTTCAAGGTACAACGCAAGCAATGCAGAGCAGATGTCACAAGGATGTAAAACACCGCAGGCAGAGGAAACGTCAACAGACAGTAATTATTTGGTGGTTCATGCCCCCCAACCAAAGGACGACGTCAGAGTCCAGCGGACCCATTTCTTTGCGCTTTTGGTGGGGGACGAAAATCCTCCGAGCGGCGCTGACCGAGGGCTGTTTCTCTATCAAGTCACGCAAGTACAAGTACCTCGTTGTTGAACCAGCCACACAACTACAGCAGGCAGTGTTTGTGAACAACAAGTCACTCTTTTCATTGCTGGTGGCAATGGCTGTTGCTGTTGCCATTGCTGCTATCCATCCACTATTAGGATCACTATCCAGCAGAGCATTGTCCAGCAATCATTAACTCATCCAGTCCTTTTTTGGTATCCGAGGCTGATCATGAGTGTAGATCCAAGTGCTGCACCAAAGCCACCCCATCTGAAGAAAGATCAAGTAGAAAGCACATGTAGTCGCATTCCCATCCATCGTGCTCCATACGCCGTCGCGTGCTTGTGATGATCAGTAGCCCCCGCTTTCAATATGCTCACTCCTCAGTCTATGACAAGTGCCATATCACAATAACAAGAGTGGATCATTGATCGTTGCTTCATGTTGCACATGAGCACCAATGAAATGTATGTCGTTTACCACAACGAGGTTATCCACGAGGACAACCACCGCGAGATCTCCTCTGAGGCACAACGCCTACCAATCAGCGGCCCAACCGTTCTTCTCCAGAAACTCTGCACAGGCGTTCTTCAGCGCGACATTGGGTATCAGGTTGTCCGGCTTGAGCGGCTGCCTTGTGAGGGGGTCAGTTCCGACGACCTTGATGTGTTTTAACAAAGACACTCGCTCGTATGAGACACCAGTGGGTGTTACAACAGGGTCGTGCATCACTTCGAATGTAATGGGGTCAATGAGCCAGTCAGGGACAACCTGTGCACGGCAGCGAGATTAGCAACATGGTCATATAGAGGCAACGTCTGTCCACATACTCTCTCCGCCGAATCTGGTATACCCTTGTCCTCAAAGCCCCGTCTGATATTTGCCCTTCTCACTTCGGCCTCTCTTTGAAGTTCTTCGATCTCCTCCCGACGGCCTGTGTCCCCAATCTCGCCTGCCTTGAACCTTTCTTCCACAGCGTCAAGGTCTCGCTGTAATTGTGCGTCCAGCAGGTCTTCAACCAATGCCAACGTCTCATTCATCTCTCGCAAACGCGCCGTCTCTTTAGCCTGCCATTGCGCTTGCTTCGCTTTCAAAATGAAATTGCTGATCAACTCTGCAGAGCTGTCGTGTGTCTCTAGACAAATGGCATATGCTGTTTTGGCCTCCTCCAGCGCTTCAGTGACATGACGTTGCGCCAGGAGGGCTTGCGCCAGATAATAGTGAGATTTCATGGCGGCATTCTTGTGTTTGACACCGTATAATTCTATCGCCTTGCGCGCGTCGGTTTCAGCGCCGGGCCAGTCTTGGAGACGGATGCGGGTGAGGGCTCGGTTAGTAAAGACCTTGGGGTCGGAGCGTGAGTGTTCAGCGATCCTGTTTCATTTGCGAGGTTAGGACCTTGGATGTTCAAAGACAAACACAGCGATGAGGGTGGAACGAGAGACGCACGCTTGGGTATAGAGTTGCTCGGCTTCCTTGTACTCGCCGGCTTTGAACTTCTCGTTGCCTAGTTCTCGGAAAGACATGACGGGCTAATGGTCAAATACTCTAGATTCTAGGAAGATGAAATGTCAATCAAGGTTGGAAGAGACAGCCTCAATAAAATCGACAGTCAGTTAATCTGGTAACGGTAAAAGCAGCGCATGCAGCATGTAGTGAAGAGCGACAGCAACCGAGCAAATGCATCTACTTGTGTAATCATGAAATGTCAACAGCCGAGACGCATAGCTGTCCAAGAGTGTCCAAGAATCCAGAAAACCGATCGTGCGACGCCAGGTCGATGGACGGATATCGTGGCAAGTCAGCCTTGGGGACAGAAGGTGATGGATGCGTTTGGATACTTTTTGGGAGAAAAGACGCTGCACAACGCATCACAAGCCGGAGTTCGGACGAATTTGGATGCGGAGAAGCACACCTGCTCCTTCCCGCCCAGGCAGCCTCCTTGCCTTGCCTCACAGCTGCCCCAGTTGCCCAGCCACAGCCTCTCAACCAACCAGGGAACGAGATAGACTCCAAACCATAATGTAATCACAGTGAATTGCTTGCATTGAATTTCATACTGCTATGACATGTCATGGGTATTTGGAGTGGTCTTGTAAGAAAGCTTCCAAAGGCTCAATTTCCTCAATCACTCCTTGGAATCGACAGTGTATTCCATATCCATAGTCGCCCCCAACCCATTTGCCCTATCTCCGTTTTCCTGGAACGCCCAACTCAACTGTACATATCGCTGCTGAAGGTAAAAATGTTTTCCGTGATCTAATTCATCAATCCGCTTTCATTTCCATTCGACATACGCTGCATTCAAGCGGCACCTGCGGTAGGAGTGTTCTGGAGCACTTTGGTTGGTTGGTACCCAGCTCGAATGATCCTTTCGCCAGAGGAATCACGGCTGACTTCACCCTTGGCCTCCAATTGAGACCGCCGCCATATATCAACTTCACCTCCGCCACGGATGACACCAACTCTCATTGTCGAAAGCAAGTTGTGAGCTGCGTTGCTGTGCATATACACACCACCATTGAACATGGCAGTGGCATCTTTGCCAATGCCGGAGTTGATCATAGCCTTGCCACCAGGATGGTCCTTGATGAAATCCGTTACATCGTGAACAATTCCGGCGACAGCAATCAGACCACGGCCGTTCTTGCATTGATCAACATACTCGTCCCATTCCATAACAGGAAGTTGATCGAGAGGAACACCCCAGTCGAGCCTAGCACGTGTCTGATCAAGCTTCTTTTGTTGTTGCTGAAGGCGGCCCTTTTCGATTTCGTTGCTGCGGAATTGTTTGAGGTCGTACGCAAGACCGAGCTGTTTGCAGGTCCAGATGAACCACTTTGTGGGATCATATTGGTGCCACTCGATCGCATTGCGGTAATCGGAGGGGAACTCGTGGTGGAAGTTGTGATAGCCTTCACCAAGAGTAACCAAAGCTGTGATGACGTGGTCACGCGGGGAGTTGCGGTCGTCAAAAGGTTGGTCTCCCAGCCAGTGGGCCAAAGAGTTGACGCAGAAAGTGGCTTGCTGGACGAAGAAGATTCGGAGAATGCCAGCATAGATGAAACCACCCCACCAATCACCCCATCCCAGGCCAGCAACAATAGTAGGCAGGATCAGACCCATGAAGATCACGACCTTGAGATAGTTCTTGTGTTGCCAGACGACGATCGGGTCTTCGTTCAAATCCGAAATATCGGTACGTCCAATCCTCTTGGGGTTTTGCTTCATTACCATCCAGCCAATGTGAGAATAGAGCAGACCCTTGCGGACAGAGTATGGGTCCTTGTCCGTGTCGGTGTACCGGTGGTGTGCTCGGTGGTCACGCGACCACCATCTGATCGAACCCTCGACAGCACCACCACCAACAGCGGCGAGGAAGAATCTCAAAGGCAGAGTGGCGGAATAAGAGGTATGGGCCCATAATCTGTGATATCCAGCTGTGATACCCAACCCAGTGGCAAAGTAATATAGCACTGCCCAGACAGCGGTCTTGAACTGAAGAGGCACCCAGAAGGCCTGGATGCAGCCCCAGAGCGGAATACCAACGATGAGGGTAACGTTGAGCCAGTTGACATGTTTGTACCAATTCGACCGTGTCATGGGCATCTCGGTGATGTGAACTTTCTTGGGGTCATACTTGGTGCTTCGATTGGGTTCGGAGGGCTTAGCCATCGGCGATGGCTGAGACGACTGAAACTCAGGCTTGACAGCCAGGTCACCAGCGGTGGGTTGAGACGAAGGCATTGCTGAAGCAGTCGAGGTTCAACTGATGCCAGAGGTGAAGAGGACTGAGGATGGAATGAGGGAATGAAAGGGGGGAGATCAGGAAGGACTTGGGACCGAAGGTTATATTTATGAGAAAGGTGAGGATAATCCGAAAGGGTGATGGTGTGTTTGAGCTTCCTCAGATATGTTGAGAGGCGATTGTGGGGAAGTCGGTGGAATGGGTCAGAGGCACAGGCAATAAGATCGGAGGCAATACTTTGAGGGTAAGACGATCATGCTCAGCGGATACTCAGACACGCCAGAGCATTTGCACAACAGACGAATCGTGGACCGAGTGAGGCCGGCGAGAACTTGGAAATCGGCCAGTCCCTTCGGACAGAGATTTTCCTGGTCTCATGAGGCGGTCTCGATGGGTTCCAAGGTTGGCTGACGATTCCCAAAAGGCTGGAGTTGGGAAGCGGCAACGCAGCGCAGCTTCCCGGTTGCGAAAAAGATGCTGCAGGGTTTTGTGATTTTTGTTGGGGAAGAGCAACGTCACTAGTCTCGGCCGGCAGCCTCCTCCGACAGCGATATGATTGGTGGATCGCCTTCGGTGCCTTGCGCTAGAAGCCCGCTAGAAGCCCAGATCCTTGACGCTAGGAGAATTTTGACTGGGTTTCCCCAACATAACACCGTGGTCTGCATTTTCCGGTCGGACGGACTTGGTAAGAATAGCTACAAAGTGAACGGAGTACGAGGAACAGAGGCAACGAGAGTGGTTTCACAGAGACAACCGGTCAGACACTGGCTTTCAGCCCTGTTGACGCCTAGAATGCTGCTTTCTGTACGGGTTATAGCAGGAGGCGCGACCATTCCTCAAATGAGTGACCTCGGCCCAACCGAATTTTAGACTGGAGGCTGAAGGAGCAGGTCAGATCTCGGGTCTGTTGCTCCGAGGCACCAGGGGAGCCACCAGGGGAGCCACCAGGGGCCAACAGGAGACCAGGGACACTTCTTTGAGAACGGTTGGGGTCTCGCTCTTCGTTTCGGCCCCCGTATTTCGTATTGCTTTTCCACCCCCAGGCTTCTCTCCTCTTATCCGACCACCATTCCCGGGACAGAATGAGTGATATATCATTGGCTTGTACTCGACGACAGGGTGTTTTGGGATGCTGACTCTATCATATGATTTCTGGAGACGATCATGTCCTTGTTCCGAGCATGTGAATTACAGGACCATGTCAAACTGTTGGGAAGGAGGCCTTCTCCCGCAGATGAGAATTCAACAAGAAGAGATTCCAAAATTGACATGCTGTCACCTGTCATGATCTCATTGTTTTCCGGTGTGAAGACGTATGCGTTTCATGGAGATTTGGCGTCTGGGAATTCAACGTGGATTCAACTACCCCTTCAGACGAGCAGATAATATAGTGGGTGCCTTCAGCCATGTTCTGTATCACCTGTGCATCACCAAGGGACTGCTCTCGGCCCAACATCCAACCCATACGAGCCCTCTTGCCTTATCCCTCCAGCTTGATCCTCAGCCCGCTCCCTGACTTCCTCTCCCATATCGCCTCCACTATTCTTCCATCTCTTATGTAGCCTGCGGGCTGCAAACCTGCCCACTCCCCAAACACCCGCTGCAATAACACTTGCTCCAATTGTAGGGGGAGCAGCTATCCAAGCCACTCCGGACACCATGCCGCCAACCGCAGTCGCTCCCACTGCGGCCACCAAGGCTCCAACTGCCACATATTTTGCCCAGCGTACCAGGCGCCAGATGATGAACTGCCCTACATATCGGACTGAGCGGAGCAGTGCGCGCGTTCGAAATCGAGCAGGCTTCTCGGCTGTGGTGGCAGTTGGCGAGATGAGGTAGTTCAGGTTGCGTTTGGCGGAAATCAAGGCAGAGTTGGATTGTTGTTGAACAGCAGTGTCCCCCTCGTCTATAGCCGAGGCGATCGACGCCTTGCCCCGAGAGGGTGCCATGGTCGATGGGGTTTGATAGTTAGGTCCTGAGGGAATAAGATGTATGATATAGACTTGGTGCGCAGGAAAGGTTGGTTGACGGCTTCAGTGGTGAAAAGAGTCTCCCGCATGCCACAGTCCAAACATTGTTTAGATGATATATCGTGACGTAATTGGCCTATGCACGACACAGCCTCGTCGGCCTCGGTGCTCAAACATTGCTTCTTGTACGTTTCAAACTTGCTTGTTGATCCTGTCCCGTTCCAACATGCTGAGCGCATATCAACGCCGGTATAGAGGTATCTGGACTCATGTTTCGAATCTATGCGAAATGCACATACATACTCGGTACCTTGTGAAGGGCATATTATGTAGAAGTACAGCAAATCGACTCCCCAAAAGGAGGCTAGTGGCGTGTCGGATATTGACCGGGGAAACTCCGACTTTCTTACCACCGATATTTTAGTCGACAGCTTATTCTTGCAATGGGCTGCTGATCTACTTGTAGGGTGCTCGCATCCACCAGCACACAATGTCAAGGGGTGTGCCAAAGAAAGTCTTCGACGCGGTGGTCGTTGGCGCAGGAGGTGCAGGTGTCGCGACGGTTGGCGCGCTCCTCCACTTTCACCAAACCTTTAGGATCGGATGGGTAGATCCAGACTTCTCGGGGGGACGAATATCAAAGAAATATAGGGATGTATCGAGGTATGTATGAGAGACTCCAAGACTTCCCACTGCTCAAGATTGGCAGATGAACTCTTCTGACTCTTGTAGCAACACCAAAACATCTCTGTTCCGACAGTATGCCGACGCTTTCGAGCCGTTCCGTCAGATTGTGGCTTCGACACCAAAGCCACACGCTGTCACTGTCCTCGAAACCCTCGATCAGAACCGAGGCTGCCGTCTCCAATATGCGGCAGACATGTTAACAATGTTGACCACCGGCCTGCGCAGACATGCCAACGTTGAGACACACGTCGGAAACTTGTCTCGAGCGGACTTCCAAACCTCATCAGCCTCTTGGTCAATGGATCTCGACCCAACGAACCAGGGGCCAACCCAAAAGATCTTGTCCCGAAACGTCATCATGTGCACAGGCTCATCGCCCACGACGATACCGCTACCTTGTTCGTCGCCGACCATACTTGACCTCGACGTCGTCCTGGACCGACAGGCTCTACGAGCCAGTCTGCCAACGACGGGTGCAAGACCGGTTGTTGGAGTGATAGGCACATCTCACAGCGCCATCGTCGCCATCATGAACCTGTACGAATTGGCAACAAGCACCCACCCGCATCTTCACATCAAGTGGTTCGTCCGCAGCCCCATGACCTACGCCGTCGAGATGGACGGTTGGATCCTGCGCGACAACACCGGCCTCAAAGGCGCCTCGGCAGACTTTGCCCGCGCGCACTTGGAAGACGATAAACTGCCAGGGTCGCCGGTGCGCAAGTTCCTCACCAAGGTCGACTGCCCAGACGTCCGCGACGCATCAATGACCCCTCACTTGGACTCGTGCACGCATGTCGTCGAGGCCATCGGTTACACGAGAGACCCGCTGCCCCGGCTCTCCGTCGACGGCACGGCCCTCGAGGGTATCATCAGCTACGACCCGACCAACGGCGCGCTTTTGGACGGCAACGGCCACGCCGTCCCGCACGCGTGGGGGGCCGGCATTGCCTTCCCAGAGCGAGTGACCGATCCGGCAGGGAACACCGAAAGCGCCGTCGGGCTCTGGAAATTCATCAAGTATCTGAACCGGGTTGTCCCGACGTGGTGTTAGCGCTTTTCAACTTCGACAGCGCAATCCAAGACAGACAGAAACTACCATGGGAGGCAGGAGAGGCAGAGCAAGGAAGAAAGATGGAAGAAAACAGCACAGAGAATCTCTTCAGACTCCGGCCCTCATCGAGGAAGATCAAGTCGCACGACGGTTAATTTTCTGGAGATGTCAAGTCTTGAGGAAGATCGATAATCTATTTTTCCCTTCAGGCCTGTATCAACCCGCCGACCGCACGCATGATTTGCACTTTACAGCATCTACAGTGCAGACACAAGAGGTGGTGGCGGCGGAACTTGTTCCTCGGAATGCCACAAAATAGACAGGAAGGACTGAAGTGATAGAATGCTAGACTGGGTTGATGGAGTGGCTGAGGCGTCCTTTTGATAGATCTTGTCTGAATATCTGGTGGAAACCCAGGCGTACTGAATCGGGAAATACATACATACATGATGCTCTAGAAGACGAGGCCCGCAGGGGTTCGGAAGCCGTGTCATCACGCCTTGGTCATAAGCTATGGAGGACTTACAAAGGACGGTGAGGGACTCTCCATACAACCATCTTCTTGTTCGCGCGTAACAGAACATATTGCAACACAGAGATGAAGAGACCAAACTCCAGCCGTAGTAGGTGAGAGTATGCGAAGGAAGACAAAGTGCCGACCGATTGTGAGAGGAGCCGATCTCAATTGTGCAGGAAAGGATCATCCTACGAGGGACCATGCGGGAGGTACCTGTTGGAAACCCTTTTTAGATCCCAGATGATATCGCCCTAGAGAGAAATGGTCGAGTTGAGCCTAGCCATATTCAGGGTCAGTTGTGCAGCGTCTAAACTTGGTGACAGATCCTCGTGGCGCAGATCTATATTTCTACTCTCCAAAGTATGGTGATTGGACAGCTCTAAAGCCTAAGAAGGACGTCAACTAAGCATCTTGAGCTTCAGGAATCCAGGAATAGGGGCCCAAGTGGTTCTCATATGTATAATGTATGTCGTAGGATTGGAAGGAGGTTGGAGACTGGAAACCAGCAGCTATGGACCGCCTTGCAATGATGTTCAAGAGCAGCGACGAGGCTTTCGGTGGCTGGATGGTAGCCAGATCAGGTCGATATCAAGCCTGTACATTTCTGCTTTCGTGAACGGAAGCACCAAACACATACTAAGTGTACAGAGCAGTCCTTTTATGGTTGTTCGAAGGAAGCATTGCCCATTTGAGCTGAGATTCACCAGGAGGGAAGTGCCTGTACTCGTGTAAAACGGGAGGATCCCCAGGGCTGGGGCCAAATAATGATGCGAGATCTGCCGCGAGAATCTGGTACATCATAATCAGGACGGTGATTTCTGAGCTCTGCCAAAAATGGAGGTTTGCTGACGTTGAAGGCCCGTAAGCTTGAATCTTAGCGACGAAATCAACAGTGATCGTGGCCAGGTGTATGTTGACTGTTGGATCTGGAGTCAGCTCAGCCCCAGACTTACTTGGATGTTGTTCGGTTAGATATCCCCTTTGTGGTAATACAGTAACCTTTGCTCATCCAATCTGCCAGCTCTTAGAGTTACTGAGACGTTCTCCGATCATCACTTTCCTCCCCATGCTGCTTGAATTGTCAACTCAGGACCCCTTTCAATTTCGATGTACTGTAACACCACTTGTAAAGCTTTCGGCCACAATGGATGGCGATGGCGCGCTTTCAGGAGACAGGGGGGTATGGGTGCATTCGCCATGCTGTATACTATCCATCAGGTCGCTCATACTTTCCATCCCAAATGCATCACTTTCCACGAGGAGATAGAGGAATCTTCAATGACACGGCCAGACATGAGTTGTTTGCCGCCCGTTCCGATTGACGGAGAGGCGCATCGAGGGACTGCTCCTACAAGGATCAACAAACATCACGGTCTCTCGAACCGGCAACCATGAATAAGCCCACAAACACTTGGGAGATCATGGATGATCCAGCACGTGCCGAGCCACATTCCCCCATAACGAACCTGCCAGTTCGCTCTGGGGAGAATGTCACCTTTGGTTTCCGATTCTCGATTATCCTGATGTGCCGGGCGGGTAGCAGACATTGACCGCGTTTCCGGTCAGATAATATCCAGAGAGGCAGAATCCTTCGGCGGTATTATGCATTTCGCATTGATTCATGGGTGATTTTTCTGCCAGAACGAGAAACAGCAGGATGTCGGCTTGGGGATGAGGAGTGGCGTCTCACCCTTCTTCCCGCAACGTGTGCCTGAGGCCACACAGAGAGGGTGAGCAAGGATGCACCGAAAGACTGTAGCTGTGAATGATCCGATGACATTGTTGACGACCTTGGCGGGGTAGTCAAGTACCTGCATCAGCGCGGGTCTTGTCCTGTAGGTTGTGTCACTGTTGGAGAACAATGGCCAGAGTTCCGTGTGCATTGTGTCTGAGGTATTATTTCCTCCGGATTGTGACCGGCTCGAATTTATACTCCTCCTCCTGCTCTGCACAAGGCTGCTGGGCCAGTTTGAGACATGGCGGACTCGTGCTTCTGGTAGTCTAACGCCAGGGATCTAGGTAGGTGATGATCATCTGGGGTATTATTAGTAACATGGTCACTGAACAGAGAGAGACGCAGATGAATACGCGGCCAGCCCAGGTCGATCTGTCGCGTGCCGCTATTTAAGCCCTTTGAGGAAGGGCAAAGTCTTGTTTTGTGGTGCTCATCGACTTGCAGAATTACGGGATGGTAGCAATGGGCGGGCGTGGCGAGGCGAGTTGAGGATTGAGATGATGGTTGCGAATACGCGTCATGACTTGCCTAGAGGCACCAGTGGGTGATTAGCCCGTGGTCTAGTTCTACCTAGTGAGTGCCCCGGCTTGCGAGGTTGATAGGCGACACGATGGGCACCTTGGGCCCCAAACCGGCATTTGTTAGGTGTTGGCTTAACGAGAACCCGGCCTCGGCAGAACACCTATTCCGGCCCCTCTACTTCGACGTGCTTGTCGCCCCTCGGTCGGTTTCCACCAACCCCTCACGCCAGCTGCGACAAGCTCCACCACCCTCTCCTTCTCCCTTCAGGTCAGCATGGGGAGCTGTGGTTGTGCTTGTCGCAGCCCGTCTCAAGGGCTCCCATCCCCCTGCTTCACACATACTCGTACGAGTGCCGTCCGCATCTTCTGACGCCCTGCCTGCCGCCCGACCTTGACACGCAATATTCACGCAGGTAAAAGGGGGATCAATCACAGGACAGGACTGAGAAACACCCTTGCCTGCAACAGAGGGAAATTTTCTTTTTCCTCGTCATCAACGCTGGTGGAAATCCTAGGATAACCGCCGGATATCCCCATCACCTCGTATCCAAGCTGGACGGGTTGTGTGCTGTGGTATACGATATCCCAAACCAATCAATCGAGGCCACCAACGTCTTGGACCGCCCAAGGTTCTGTGTGGATCACTCCACGTATCCCGGCGTTCCGATCACCTGCACCTTTGGAGGGCTGCCTCGATCGCCGACCAGGACATTAAACAACTTCTGTGACAAGTTCTCAAACACGAAACTGTTGCGGTAGCCAGTCCTTCCAACACAGCCCCAATAGTGCTTCCAAATCATCCCTGTCTCCTTTGCGCTGCGAACCAGCGACTATCCGCCCATCACCCGTTCTCTGCGTTGATCCTTCGTTGACGGATGTAAGCAGCATCGCCCGGCCGCTAACCTCTCTGCCTCTGAATTGCCAACGAAGGGTGTCATGGCACACTGCTCAACTCTGTGCTCGATATAATACACTCCGCGTCCTGCCTGCTCAGTAATAAGCCTTCGTGTCCCGATATCGTGTCCAACCTGGACGCACCTCGCCGAACCAACACCTGTATAATTTGATCAGAAGGTGGGGTTTCTGCGAAGAGCCGGACGAGGGTCATTGCTTTGGAGCACGAAGAGACGGCGGTAGCACCATATACAACAAACATGGTTGTCGCTCGGGGATTTCAGAGATGGCTGGCCATCTTCGCCACAGCGCTGACCTTCTTGTGCTCGAGAACAGCGGCTCAGACTATTGCACCGTCCAACACCACACACGATCTCCTTCCCTTCTCGTCCTCCCCTAGATTCATCCTGAATGGCACCGAGTTTGCCGATCTGCCTGAGATACAGATGGCACCATTGGGTCCTTATGCGCAAATGTCACATCAAGGTTTTGTGCAAATTCGAGTGCAAGGACATCTGGTCAATATCGATGCCTCCAACGCCAACGACATTGCAGACGTGGATCAGTTTTCCTATATTTCCTGCGATCCAGAAGATTATCCTAACAACTTGGATGCCAGCGAAGTCTTTCGCATTGTGGTGAACTCACCAAGGGCGAACATCGTCATCCTATACAGCGAGACAAGCGACCATTGCATTGCGACAGGCCTGGACGGGCTCCCGACAATCGGAGGAATCTTGACCACCACCGACAGCGCCACCGCATCCAGGTTGGCGAGGCTGGACCTGACACAAGAAAGCTCCGGCACAGCCACGATCCTCCCAGATCTGACGTCTTACACCAATTCCTCTGCGCCTGGGTTCAACGGGAACGGTGGCATTGGCCAATCCCCGACAACTGCAGTTGCCATGATCATTTTGTATTCGATTACCGGCATTATCACCGCTCTCTTCGTTGTCATTATTGTCACCGGTGCCATCCGGGCGCACAGACATCCTGAAAGGTACGGGCCTCGAAACATCGCGGGCAGAGGGAGACAGAGTCGCGCAAAGGGTATTGCACGTGCCATGCTCGAGACCCTCCCGATCGTCAAGTTCGGTGATCATCAAGACCTTCCCGCTGCCAAACCAACGGAAGGATCAGACATTGAAATGAATGCTGGAAATACCCCCGGGGGCGATGGCCACCATCCGGATTCAAACAACAAAGCCGTGGCTGGAGAGGTTGTCACTTCCGAATCCAGCAGCGACCGAGCGGCAGCAGTGATCGCCACCAACAACCCAGACGGCACCGATGCAGAAGGTCAACTGGGCTGTTCGATATGTACCGAGGATTTCAAGAAGGGAGAGGAAGTGCGTGTATTGCCGTGTAACCACAAATTCCATCCTGACTGCATTGACCCATGGCTTCTCAATGTCAGCGGAACGTGTCCGCTGTGTCGAATCGATCTGAGACCGCAGACTCAAGAGATTGAAGGAGAGGAACGGAGAGGTTCGACCGCCACAGCGGACCAGGATGGCCAATTCCCACCGCCACTCCCTCCTGCTAGGCCCGCCGACACCAACGGCAGTCCCCAACGAGGGGGACGAAGGGAAACCGTCTCCAACCTTCGACACCTGGCGTCCGGGTCTCGAGACGAGCGCATTGCAGCGCTGAGGCGGTTACGGCAGGAGACTCTGCGATCCAACCGTCCGACAAACGATGAAGAGCGGTCTGGTCTAGCCAGGAGGTTCCGAGAAAGATTCCGAATCCGAACTGAAAGGCGTGATGCCACGACCGAATGAACAGTTACGAATGTTATTTACAGGCTCTGGACGCCAGTATAATGACTCGATGATCGAGATGGTGTGGATGAGTCGCATGGTTTTGCACCCCAGCACCGTTTTTAAAAAGTTTGGTCCTTTTTTTTTTTTTGGTACGCACAACGTGGTGATGCGATGACTATGAATTTTTTGTCCACCTTTTTGCAAAGACGAAGAGGAGGAATGTAAGGCGCCAATGAACCGCGAATACCGCATTCAGCCGAGTGCTTCGATTTCATGAGCGATTTTTGGGAGCCAGGCCTGTCCCTCTTATCTATATACGGGGTCTCTCCGATGGGGTTTCGTGGACTGGCATATATTTGACCAGCCTGTACAATGGTTTTGCGGATGCATATTCTGGGAGTATATCTCTAGCTACCTATCCAGCCACTTGGGTAGGGAAGTAGGTATATTGATCCGAGTCACGATTGGTGTGTGACTGACTTGGGGACAAGCCATCAAGAGAGGGAGAAGGATGGGAAGAGGGAGGGTGCCATTGGTGTAACCATCAACCCACCCGCCATATGTATTATGTGTGTGCATGTGTGTGTTTGTATGCATTTCTTGGAGCACGAGATATACAAGTACAAGTACAGCAACAACAAGTGTGACGCACCTGTATATGGAAGAAAGATGTAAATGATACCGCACAGCTATTCTATCTCTACTTCTCCTTTTCCTTCTCGTGCTCCTTCTTCTACGTCTACGTCTACACTCTCTGACCGAGTCTAACTGGCTGATCGGTCCAGTTAGTAGTTCTACGCCTGGCGTAATGTCTGTGGTGTCACGTTATAGCGTTATAGCGATGATGTTGGACTCCAACACGCTGTACCGAGACGGTGTAGAATCTGTAGGTGTGCGAGTACTTGTATAAATAATCATTCCATTTACAAGGACCAGTCTGCGTGTAACGGGACAGTGGCCGCCCGTCCCATGACCCTGCGTTCCTGGTCAGAAGGAGTAGTACTTGCTGACCATGCGATAAGAAACGAGACGCTTGGCAAGCAACGGCTTCCTGCTCTGTACTGTGCCAGCCTTTCCTATGCTGTCCTAACCTGTCCTGCCCTGACCTATGCTGTGCCGTGATGGAACAAATTTCCCTCTCTTGCGCGCAGCGCCTTTTTGGGTGCGAGCTGCTTCATCTGCGTCGTTCGGGGTCCCCCATCAACGAGTCCACGCCACTGCTCATACCACGTGAGATCTCGTCTGTGATATCCCTCGCCGCGGTCCATCCTCGGGATGCTCTTGCGGATGGCGACGTTGACTCAGGGCCTGAATCTCGCATCCTCTCCCTCTCCATGTCCCGCTCGCTCCGGTCATAGTGGGCGTCGCCTCCAGGGCCGCCACCGGGGCCACTGCCCGAAAACCACCCACTGACACCAGCGGGGATCCAGCCTCCACCAGCACCATCGCCACCGCTGGTTCGCCGACGATCATGAGGATCTGCTGGCGTGTTTGAGCCTCCTGTGGCTTCGTCGTAGTCGACATTTTCAAACGATTGCTCACTTCGCGACTTGGTCTTCAATCCACCGCCCATGGCCAACCCAGATCCTGAGCTTGAGGGTCGCTTACTATGTCCGCCGTTCCCTCCCCGCCCATTGCCGTCGCCCGGAGCAGCGCCGTATGCGAGGTCCAAGTTCTGCTGCTCGCTGTCCAGCATCCTTACCAGGCCCAATAACCTGTCACGTTGTGCAGTGATGAATGAAGACTTCTCGGCCGTGGACTGACCGGGGATGTTCTCGAACTGGAAGAGGTTCGGGGGGATGGAGATTGAGGCGGCTTCAGCAGCTGCAGAACGATATGTTCCTTGAGAGGGGTTGGATGGAGAAGCCAGACCCGCAGCGAAACTAGATACCATGCTGTACACCCCCGCAGACGTTGCACCGGGTTGAGTAGGGGTGTTGGTCCTTGCGCCAGGCATAGCAAAGCGCGAAAGGAGGTCTGACGCATAGCTTGCGTAACCTCCTACTCCGGCTGCTTGTTGCTGGCCAGCGTGCTGTTGTGGACTCTTCTGGCCCAAGATCTTCTCTCGTGCCCATTCAATTGCTATATTCATGTAACCCAATCCCATCTGTTGCAGCTTGTCGTGGGTTTCACCAATGAACTGGTCAATCTGGCGTTCATGGTGGACGATGTACGGCTCCAAATAGTCGAGGTAGAGGACCTTGGCGCCCTGAGTCTGAGGGAGGACGAGGTAGAGGAGGAAGATGAGGCGGAGCCATGAGTAGAACGGGATCCAGCCTATGATGAACAAGGTCCAGGACTCGAATAAAAGGGTGAGGGACAGAATGGTGAAGTATATCAACCACGGGTGCGTTTGAGCCGGGTCATTTGTACGCAACGCTTTGTAGGAGAGGTAGGCTGGGAGGAGGATGGTGGTGACGGAGCTGCATAAGAAGAGCAGTGAGTTTACAGGGTCTAAGTGGGAAGTCCACTGCTGGTGTACTCACGCTATGAGGTCTGCTATGATCCCAAACATGGTGACTTGGAGGAGTGACTGAAGGCCAATGCTGGAGGATCAATGGCTTGAACTCAGGTAGTTGAGGAAGGAGTTTAAAAGTATCTGGGACACCCACCAGGCAGCCAAGTTAGATACAGCATGCAGTATAAGGTGGCTTTTTCTTTGAGTTTTCCAGACAACAGATGTCCGGAACGGCGGGTTTGAGGAAAGCCAAAGTGCCAAAGTCGGTGTGCCTGACGGAGGAGCAAGTGAGAGGATGAGGCTGCGCCGACTCCACATGCGGGCAGCTCAGCCCTGCTGATCCGAAACCCAGCCTCGTCTCTTATCGATAAGGTGCGGGGCAGTTGGGATAAATGCTCGGCCGTAGTCGGCAGTTGGGATATCCAATACGGTGGACCTTTTCGGACGTCATGTGCAGGTTTGATATTTTTTCCGACGGCGACACCAACCCATCATTCCTCGGTACCTTTGACATTTGGTGTTTGCAGGGAAAATCGACGCGGTTCGAGGCTGGCGATCCGAGTTACACCTGAAACAGAACCGAGAGTCTTGTTGCATAACCACACAACTCGACACACGCCTCGCTTCCTACTGGAGAAAACAGCATCAGTTGACCATCCACTCGCCTCTTCCTACTGGTCCCTGCATCAGGCCTTTAAACTTCTCGCCTCGGTACCCGGCGACGATCTCGTCAAATGATTGATTGTCCTCGTTGAGCGGTCGTCGTTTTTCATTTGCTGGAGGCCGCCCCCCCTGAAACTACGTGGCATCGAGGTCTTTCCACAACAACCAGCGCAAAGATTTGCCATCTGCTTCAGACAACGTCGACGTTTTCGTGAGTCTTGCTACCAGATTCCGGGGTTTTAAGTGTGAGTGGTGTGATGCCAATCGGAAAGATCCATCGCCTCTCCACAGTTTGTATATAAACTCGGTTCGTTTGCTTTCCTCCTGCATCTTCCGGTCAATTTCGTCGCCAAAGCGCCACATTTTCCTTCAAAGCAAAGAACTCACCCATTTTCAAAATGTGCATCGCAATAATATCCACGGCACATCCTTCCTATCGACTAATTCTGATCGACAACCGCGACGAGTATCTGAATCGACCGACCGATGTTGCTGGATGGTGGCCAGATCCCCACACCCATGTTCTTGGAGGCCGGGATATGCTCCGCGACATCCACGGGACATGGCTGGGAGTGACGAGAACAGGCAAGGTCGCTGTGCTCACCAACTTCAAAGAAGACGTTACACCGCCTCCCACGGCCGTCAGCCGCGGCGCCATCATCAAAAAGTTCTTGTCTGAAGATGTCGGTCCCGTTGAGGAGTTTGTCAAGGAAGTTGTCAACACCGGCGTCGCCAAAGACGCCGGCGGCTTCAGTCTCGTGTGCGGTCACATAGGTGAGAAGCTTGCCGTCATCTCCAACCGTGCAGAAGACCAAAGCCAAGTACCGTGGATCGCGGGGGATGTGGTGCACACTGTCGGCCTGAGTAACGCCCACTTCTTGGACCGATCATGGAAAAAGGTCACCCTGGGCGAAGAACTCATGTTGAACACGATCCGGCAGAGCATCGAAAACCAAGAAGGCGAAGACGAGCTGATATCGCGGTTTCTGGACCTGCTCAGCCACGAAACTCTTCCGCGGAACGGCGAACCTGAAGGATCCGGCCTGGAAACGTATATTCCCTCCCTCAGACACACCATCTACGTGCCGACCTTGGGACGAAAGGACACGGATCATCACCTAGAAGACGACGAGATTGCCGCTGCCAAAGTCAACGAGAAAGTCAACATTGTAGGACACCACACACCGGTGCGGCGCCACTCGCCGTCAATCAACCCGCCGTTTCGAGCTCGACCGCTGGGCGTCAGTGGGCTCTACGGGACGCAAAAGCAGACGATTGTGCTTGCCGACCAAGACAACAACGTCCGGTTTTTCGAGAGGACGCTATTTGACGCAGACTCGAATCCCATCCCATTCGGCCAGGGTGACGTGGACGTGAAATTCAAGATTGACCGGACGTCAAGTTGATGGCCGCCTTTGCGTGTGACTGGTCCCGATTTTGGTCTGTTTTACAGGGGTCAAGAGAAAGCCAAAGGTGCATTTTTTGGACTGCTGGGGGTTTTATGACAAGGGCACCTAGAGAGTATGTGTGCATGTGCATGTGTGTGTGTGTGGCATTGGCATCGGCACTGGCACTGTTTTCAACGGTCAAAAGAGCTTTTACTACTCTCCAACTACACCAGACGTGGGGTTATACGACTTTCTTTTCTAGCCTTTTCTTTCTTTGGAGAGAGAAAGTGTGTGTGTGTGTGTGTGTGTGAATGTGGCAAAGAACTCTGGAGCATACCTAGCCTAGATGGGAGCAATAGAAGGAATCGATGTTTGTTCGTTTGGTTCGGACTTTGACGAACAAATCAATCACTACATCCCAGATGAGATCAGATCACGAAGTGAAATGAAGTGCAGCAGAGCGAACAGAGGAATTTAACAGACAGACAGACAAAAATAGAAAGATACCATGGTCGCTGATCGCCGATATATCTCAGATGTATACTATATACAGTACAACACATACAACACAGATATATAGTTGTCTCGTGTGCCCAAAGTGACTAGCCAGGTAAGTAGGTATCTGGGGTCCTTTTTTTCTTCCCGACAAACCAGTTTATTTTCGCAGGATTATGTAGCTGGCTTTCTAGCTAGCTTTCTAGCTCTCTCTCCGTCCGATCTCGTATAAAGACAATCTTACAAAACCACCCTGCTAGAGCAATTCAACCCGAAATACTAGCAGAAATTGCACGGGCGAGTTTCCGCGTCCGCGGGCTCTGCACATGCGCGTCGTAGAAGAAGCCTCGTCGTTGAAACGTTTCGAGACGCTCTGTAACAAGGCCCTCGTCAAGACGACACAGCGACGAGTTCGTCGGTCCCAACGACCAGCTCCAGCTCCTGGCAAAGGCACAACACTGCGCGGCGAACCACTCGGCCACGGGGCTCCCCTCGTCGGCGCACGAGAAGCCTACGATCAGAATCCACAGCCTGATGTCCTGGGCGCCGACCCAGCCGGGGGACGTGGTGGGTATTTGTGTGAGGATGTCCTTCAGCATTGGCGCCATGACCTTGACGGTCTTTGCGCGGCCCGTCACGTTCATCGCGAGCAGGGTCCACATGATGATGGCGGTCCTCAGCGCGTGGGCCCGGGGGTCGTGAGTCGTCAGTGCCAACAGCCTGTTTCGGATGGCCATGTTGCGCGTGGTGATCCAGTGGGTGACCTGCAGGGCGCGGGACGGAGACATGGACGAGGTCTGTAGGCGACTCTTGACATCGTGGGACTCGACTAGCTGCTCGATCACGGTCCTCAACGCCAGAGGTACTATCGATGTGTCCCTGTCCAGCAGGAAGCTGGCGCTGTTCTCAGACTGGACGGGCGATAGCTCGTGATCCCCCAGACAAAGAGCACTGGCGGGACCTGGATCGTAGTCGCATTCAAATAGACAAGGCTTGAGCCGGATGCAGGCGAGATACAGATCACTCATGGCGAGCTGACCCCGCAAATTCTCGTCGTGGATGGACATGAGCCCGCCATTTCGTTCCAGCAGGTCGACAGCAGCCTGTAGGTGGGTTGTCGCCGCCGCGACGTCGTCTCGGTAACACTCGGCCGAGGTCAGAAACACGATGCAGATCAGCAACTGTCTCAGTTGCTCGTAGGTCTGAATGGGCTGCGTTTCGATGCGGGAGCGCAGTAACCGGAGCGCGTTGCGCATGTAGTAGTCGTCTTTCCCAGCCACCGCCGTGGAAGGGAGGCGGTCAATGAACTGGAGTCGACTGGCAGAGGCGCTAAGGAGACAGTACATGGTGAGGCTGTCCTCGACAACTGTCCGCATGATGCGGTTGACGGCGCTTTGAAACGTGTATACACCCTGACGAAGGACCGTCATCTCGTTCGGCCACAGTGTGGGATGATAAAAGTAGACGTAGTAGTGCAGGAGGCCCGCCACGGCATTGTCGATTCTAACAGATGCCGCATCAAAGGGGTCTGCCCTGTGTAGGATCGTCTCACTGGTGGGAGATGGCGTTGTGACTCGCGAAGACTGGTTGCTGTTCCGCTGTGCCTCCCTCTTCCTGTGTGTTTCTCGCGCAGCGTGAGCCCTTCGCTCGACATCGTCCAGAGCGCGATCTTTTTGTGGGCGTTTTGGGTGGCAATTCACAAAGAAGACTCTGACTTTTGGCATTTTGCAGGCCACAAGTTGGCAGTTGTGTCGCTTGGGTTGTTATAGATCTGAGGTGTAAATGGAAATACTCGTCACCTCTGTCGCCAAAAGGTAATACTGTCAGTAGCATTCTCCCAAGAGATGCACTGACGAGAATGGTATATAACTTCCTTGGGAGGTGGAAGTTGACTTGTGTTCTCTCATGCTGAACGTCGTCGTCGTCGGGATGGTCATATCTTGAATACCACTCCTTGTTTTTTCCTGCACACACTCGCAAGGTACCATTGCCACATTTGTTGTCCCCTACAACTTGACTTCCTGAGTCAGCTGTAGTTGGAGAGTGATTGGCCCTCTGGAGCAGCCCGCCTCGAGCCAAGCTGGGCCCAAGCGATGTGCCTCGTATAGATGCCGTGTCCCCAGCGAATGGCGGGACGCCGCCCAATGCGTGTCCGAACCCAAGAATCCACTCTGAGGGGCAGGGATTTCCGAGGAGCCTGAATATACTGGGGTAAGCTGGCAGTCGAGCAATAGCGAAAAAAGGAAAGTTGTCGAAAAGTAGTTGGTATATCGTTGTGGCCCGAGGAATTGAGTAGCAAAGAAAAGAGAGATGGCCGAATGAGTCGAGGACTTGCTCTACAACAGCAAAAGGTTCTGGCCACTGGTTTCTGAAGCCCTCGATTATGTACTCATGGACCACTGGTTCACTTCCAGGATAGCTGTAGCCTCATTCTCAATGAACTTGAGCGCCCTCAACAACAGTGTAGGCCCCACGGAGATGCGGCTGACACCAGCCCGTTTCAAGGCTTCAATGGTACAGCCCTGCGCAAGCACGGCCAGTTTGCCGTCCAGTCTGTTGGCCATGTCCCTGACCTCGTCTTCGCTGATGACCTTCTTCCTCACGCCCCAGACAAACACGGTTGTAGCACCCGCGTCAAGATAGGCGCGCCCACGCTCCACCACGTCGTCAATCGTCCCGTCGAACCCCAGGACGTCGGTGCGGGCATTGACCACGAAATCGGGGACCCCTGCCTCCCTGGCCGCTCGAACGGCCGCCTCGATCCGGCTCTTTGCTTCGTCGAGGGGTCTCAGCTTCGGAGGTTGGGAGCTGTTGTCGACGTCCTCGATGTTGCAGCCGACGACTCCAATCTCGATGGCCTGTCGGATCGAGTCTCCCGGATCCGCATACCCGTCCTGTAAATCTGCCGTCAGCGGCAACGTGTCGGCCTTGCCGGCGTTGCGTAGACCAGTAGCCACCCGGCGAACCCCAGCCAGATTGTCGTCGAGCGACATGGTGTCTTCATTCACGATGCCCATGCTGGCGGCGATGGCAAAAGAGGCGCTCGCCACGGCCTTGGTCGAAGGGAGGCCGGCCACCACCGAGGCGGTGCAGGCATCGTAGACGTTTGTCAGGATCAGAGGCTGGCCAGGGACATGGAGGGATTTGAGCTGGCGGGCGAGCTGGTTGAGGTCTTCGCGAGATTTGGCCATGGTGAATCCGTCGTAAGGGTGGCTTGCCGTGGTTTGTAGGGACGTAGAAGCAGTCACAGCGAAGATGTGCGGACAACGTACAAAGGTCCTGTCCCAAAGGTGCAGGAAGAGGTCAATGAGACAAAGGTGGTGCAGGATGGTGATGGGTGGACAATGTGATCACAACCCGTCACGCCCTTCAACCCGGCCCAGAGCACAGAGTTACACAACAACAACCCCATAACTATACCGAGTACGCCCTGCTAATCACTCTCTTTGTTGCCCTCGTATTTCTTTGGTTCGAGCGTACCACCCGCACCTCCACAACTGGGCACTTTTTACGCAGCGCAGCGAGAGTTTCCGCGGCCTAAGGCGATGGGCATCAGGCGAGCCACCACAACCACCACCAATGTGAGAGTCTTGTACAGACGACAAGCTCGAACGAATTTGTCAAAGTCGACAAAGTCGATCGACCCTTGACCCCCTTCCCTGTCTCAGACTTTTAGCCTCCAACTATGTACTTGAGAAAACCCACTCTGACTAACGATCTCGCAGTACATATCTTGCCACCCACCTGCCACCCTGCCTTAAGACTCGACTACTGGGAAAACAGGCTTCGACACCGCAACGAGCAAGAAATACGGACGATGCGCCTCGCCGCCCTCGTCCACTTTCGTCCTGAGATCCAACCCGTCCCAGGACTCTTTGAGGCTTTCGAGCACAAAGCCTGCCTCTAGCAACAGCGAGACGTACGTCTCCACGGTGCGGTGGTACTTCCTGACCCCGTCGGCCAGCCAGTCCGTCACACGGAGCCCCTCGTCCCAGTACCGGTTCAGCGGCCAGAAGACGCGGCCCTGCTCATCGCGCCTCCACGACGCGTCTGCCGGCGCCGTGAGCACGGGGTGTTCGACCGAGAAGACAAATCGGCCTGGGGCGATGGTGCTGGTGTTGTCGAGGCATGCAAAGACCTGTGCGAGCAACCTCCGAAGGGCGTCGGTGGGCAGGTAGTGCAGTGCGAGCGAACTATACACGAAATCGTACGACCCTGGCGCCAGCTCGAGTCCCTGTTCAAGATCCGACCGTTCGTAGGTGATCAGACTCTTTTCCTCTTCTGCCGCCGGCATCTCTCGTGCCCGTCGGAGCATGTTCTCTGAGATGTCGACGCCGTGCGCCGACCGCGCAGCAGCCTCCTTCACCGCCCACCGACAGAACCAGCCGAAGCCGCACCCCAGATCGAGCACGCGCGCCCCCTGGATATCCCCGACCAGTCGACGCAGTGTAGGCCATTCTGGAGCGCCATCGAGCCCGTGCACCGATCGCGGTAATTGTCTGTACTCGTTGAAAAACGCCGGGTTGTCGTACATGTTTTGGGCCATTTTTGGGGCATGGAACGTCTTTGGTGTCCTGTGAGAATTGAACTTGCGGGGAGAACAGAGAGAAGAGGTCAAGGACCTTCAATATGTCTTTGCGTCTCCTTTACGTCTCCTTTGACCTTACACAGGATTAGGCCCGTTCACCCGAATACGTCGTATACCAAAGTCGTGACTCACACATTGATAGAGAAAGAGTACACAATAACCTCCAAGAATGGCGACACCAGCGGTCACCAATACTCTGACAGACACTAGATAAAGACTCCAATCGATCCTCGCAGGAGGTCTTGATGCCCTGGTCTTTTTACCGAATGTGCTTTTTCCCATCCATCCAGATTCCCGTGGCCACCAACTGGAATTGCAATGCCAGCTACCGGATGCGATAAAAACAGACCTGTTTCCCTGCACCTTCACATGCACGCACCCCCTACCACAACTCACAAACGGGCTCTTTCTTGTCACACTGGAAACTCTCCCGGAAGTCCCTCGAGTTGGCCATGGTGCCCAGAATCCTGGCAAACTTGGGTGCATGAGGATCCAGGTAGATTCGTTGAATGGCAGTTTCCTTCCTGGTCTTTCCGCACCACCAGTTGGCGTAGTTGACGAAGAACAACTGCTCCTGTGTGAAGAACTCCAGCCCAGGAAGATCCTGGTTGGGCTTCTCCGCCGCGCGCTTCTTCCACGCCGCAAATGCTGCCGCTAGACCACCTGCGTCCGCGATGTTTTCGCCCAAGGTCAGTCGGCCGTTGACATGGAGTGGTTTGTCATCAGGACCCGGTACAGTAAAGTTGGAGTACTGCTCGACGAAACACTCTGCCCGCTTCTTGAAGTTCTCGACCGTCTTTTCCGTCCACCAGTCGGTGAAATTGCCGTTCTGGTCGTAATGGCGACCGGTCGAATCGAATGCATGAGAGAGCTCGTGCCCAGATACGGACCCGAAGGCGCCGTAACTGAGATACTGGGGGACATCGACATCGAAGACGGGAAACTGGTCCAATTAGCTGTTGAATGCGAGTGTTGCTCCTTTTACTTGACTGACCTGCATGATTCCTGCTGGGAAAACAATTTCGTTGCCGGGAGGATTGTAGTCTGTAAGATTAGTCAAATGCTAACAACACACGCAGGGCACTGGGAGCACATACATGCGTTCACAGTTGGAACAGTCATATCCCTAAAAACCGTCAGCACATTGCAGTCAATCCCACGACAAGAAGCAGTCACGAACCATTGATTTCTATCCACAGGCTTGCCCAGAGCCGCCCACTCGCGAGCGAGCTCAGCACGGATGATCGATACAGCATTGCCGAAGTACGTCGAAGAAGTAATGTTGACTGGAGCGTAGTATTTCTTCAGACTCGCGGGGTCCATGATGTTTGGGCTCTGCAGATCTATCAGTATTGTGCACCTTGATAAAAGCCCCGGAACTTCACATACCTTGTCCGGATATCCAATTTTTTGGACAATGTTGTGGACCTTGGAAATGGCCAGCTCAATCACTTCCTTCTCCATCCACTCGGTAACCTTGAGCTTTTCGATGAACTGATCCTTTATGTCGGAGACAATTTGATCGCCAAATTCTTTCGCCTTGGCCGAGAAGGCTTTTTCGACGAAGAAGCGGCTCAGGATCCAGCCCACTCCAAAGTCGACGTGGTCGACGCACGTTCGCCATCGTTCCGGTTTGGTATCTGGGTCCTAGGCCATATCAGCATCGGAAGGCTGGAAGGTTAATTAGAAGAAGCGTGGTACCTTGCCCTCCAGCTCGTTTGAAAATCGTTTGAGAGGAGCGACCGCGTCAGCCTCAATAAAGCTGGCGTACGACTGGACTACCTTCCACATGAAGTATGTGTGCAGAGTCTTTTCTGGTGTATCCGCCAGCACTTTACTAAGCTCCTTCATGTATTTTGGAGCCATGACTATGACTCGCTCCAATTGGTAGTTTGAGGGTACCAGGCTATGGAGGATTTCCGACAGCCTCAGTTGTGGAGTTAGAGCATCAGCATCAGCTAGAGACATGGGGTTGTAGTATTTCTGTCCTGTACGTTAGTAAGTTCGGGTTGTGAAACAGTGCTCCAGCTCACCGTCACGTCGTTGCGGTCTTCAGCAGTCGGCGCGGCTTTCGCAAGCTGCTTTTCGAACTCGACCAGATCATGAGCATCGACTGCATCGGTAGAGGCCTCATCTTGGAGTGCCGAGAGAACTTTCGAAGCCACGTCTTCATACTTCTTCACGAGCTGTTCATCTTCGTACATTTCCCGTGCAGGTAAACCAATGCTCCACGGAGCCGCGATGGAGACCACCACCGTATCTGGATCTTTGTCGTCGGCACCCGTGTCAGCAGATATCACAGTCGACATGCCAGCCTTGAGCATAAATGCAATTGTGACAGAGAGGTCGCCAGATGAAAAATGTTTCGCGGTATCGTTGAGTATCTCGATCAATGGCGCAACGCCGACTTTCGCGATGGTGTCCTCATCCAAACAAGCATCATAGGCCGCTTTGAGCTTGTCGAAATTCTCCTTGTCCACCGAGCCTGTGGTACTGTCGAGTGTGGCAGGGGAGAAGTAGGAATGCTGGAGCAGATATAAGCACAAGAACCGGGATCGTTGATGCAGTGCGAGGGACTTACCGCCGACAAGCCGGGGTACGGAGCTTCGAGGATATGGCGGAGTAGCATCTGAGAATTCTCGCTCATGATCGTGCCGGTAAAGGCATCGCCTTGGTCGGGCCGTAGATCGTGACGCTCCCTCCAACCTCCGCAAACCAGCTCCTCGAAGTCGGTGCACGGGTCAAGGGTTTGATAGTCGGGCGACAAGTTGTAAAGCAGCTCCGAGGAGGCATGAACACACGCAGGCGTTAGACAGATGTCAGCCCCTTTGTGTTCGGGCTCTTTGCTGTTTGCTTCGGCGTTGTCAGCAACCAAACGGAGCGGTGAACCAGTTTCATACAGCAAGACTCACTATTGAGGGAGAAAGGCAAAATATCGGGCCAGTCATCCTTCACAACGAAGCCGGCATAACAGAGCCATATGACGAAGAGGACCATGAAGGCGGCGAAGGCACGCCAATGAAACGCTTCCCGGAGGCGGCGACCGCACGTAGCGCAGTAGGATGCGGGAATCGGCGACCTGCTTTCCTCATCTTGTAGCAGAGGAGCCTTTTCGCTGGTGCGCTCATGGCCACTCGACAGTGATTGACGATCCATCATGGCAGGAACGGCGTCGTGCACAGGATGAATGGCATGAAGGGAGTAAAGATGGTGAGATGGGGTCGAGTTAAAGGGAACACGTTTGGCTGCGGAGATTTGGTGGTGGCGCGGTGGTTGCCGTCCGACGCATTAGTGGAAGTGAGTTGGTGCCACTTGGGGGGCGGGAACGGGGAATTGTGACACCTGCAGCACCTGTTAGGCGTTCCTGGAAGAGAGGAAGAGCCTTACTGGTGCCTGAGTGGGTGTTGTCACCAGCCTTGGGTTGTAGCTTCAAGCTTCCCCGCACTGACACTGGAGCCGCGAGCCGCGAGCTTCGGGCGTTGTACCTTCCTATGATGCTAATGCCTACACAAAACTGGCTAGGCACCTAGGTAGGCAGCAGGCTCTGGCGATCCTCAAGAAGCGAGGAGGCGCCAGTTTCCACCATCAGTTCTTTTGCTACCAAACTACCTAGGTACAGTATGTACTCTATATCCACCTCCCAGTCCTCGCACTACCCAACACATTCCTTTCCTGTCTATATCTCCGACTAGGTACGGCATGTGGGATACACAAATGTCAAGCCTCAAAGGGGAGAGTCCATGCCAATTGAAAAGAGTACTGGCGCAAAAGAACCCTGAAACAAGAGGGCTGAAAGCGCCCCCAACCGTGATGAGCGGCGGGACAAGTTATTGATGTCTCGGAGGATTTTGAGGATGGAGAGTCGGGTTGGGGGTTGTGACGTCCGACTCACGCATTGAGGTCGCTCCGTGTGTGGTGTTCGTCTAGGACACTCCGTGATGAATATATTTAACAAGAAGTGAATGAGGAAATAAAGGAGGAGGAAGGTCGCTCGAAGTATCGAGGTGCATATCTATTGTCAGCTGTAGCGATACCTCTCCAAGCCATACCATGGCGATGGAATTTGGATGAGAAAGAAGGAGAGCTCGTACGCAGACTAACAGGCCGGGTGGTGAAGTGTTAAGTACCTGCGAGCCGGGTAGGTTGTGTGTGACCCAAAAGTCTGCTAGGGAAACTTAGACGAGCCCCTCGACCTCTCCATGGTCCAATCGACCAATATCAAAGATGATGCCATGTGTGTATATGTGCACATGACTGTATGGCCGGCCACCTCAATGCCACCCAGACAGACCACGCCCACCCTGCCCAAGAACTGGCCCAAAGACATTCTCTATCTCGATAAACTCCACATTCCGTCTCCTCTATCGTCGGAGCTGCTCCAAAGAACCACGATCCCATCTGATTCACTCCCCGTAATTCCCGCTTCAGCACCCACGTCGCCGTCCCCGCTGGTCCAAATAAAGCCCGTCGCCGACCCCTCCCACCCAGCGTACCGACAGCACGGGCTGTTCGCGGCGCGCGCCCTGGCCCCGTCGTCATTCGTGATCCTCTACCTCGGCACGCTGCACACGTCGTCGTCCGAGTCAGCTTCGACATCGGACTACGACCTCAGCCTCGACCGCGAGCTGGACCTCGCCATCGACGCCGCGCAGTGTGGCAACGAGGCGCGCTTCATCAACGACTACCGCGGCATCCGACTCGAGGGCCCCAATGCCGAGTTCCGCGACTGTTGGGTCGAGATGCTTCCACCAACCCCCCGCGGCGGCGAGGCCAGATGGGAGAGGCGGATCGGCGTGTTCGTGCTGAGTGCCGGCAAAGCCAACCGGAAGGACGGCGGGAAGCAGAGGGCGAGGGGGATCGCAAAGGGCGAGGAGATCGTGGTTAGCTATGGCAAGGGATTCTGGAGGGCGAGGCAGCAGGAAGAGGAATTGGGTCACTGACAAGCTGGTGGATGGTGCCAACGAGAATGGCTGGGGCTTTTGCTCGAAAGCGACAACGATGAGCTTGTTTCCTACTAACTGACAACTATCGACGAGTCGCGGTCGTGACTCGGCATAGGAAAGAAAGGAAGCTCTCATCTACATCCATCACTCGTGGCGCTCGACCATCTCCAAACTTCCACAAACACCTCCTCATCAAGCTTCAAGCTAATGTTATTCGGCAACCCAATTATGGCTGCGAGAGTCCTGGCAGCTTTGTGGCCGTCAATCAATATCTGGGCGGGCCTGATCAATCCCTATCCAACAGCCTATATGTACTAGGTACGTCTCGCATTTTTCACGCCCAGCTAACCCATCGACACCATCTTCGAGGCATTAAGGTCGCCCTACCCTATAACATCCCACACACCACACAAATACTTTTTTCTTCGACAGCGCTCTGACCAGACTATTGGAATTCCTTCCGTCTCCTCACCCTCACCTTGGCGCTCATCGGCGGGACGTGATTCGGTCCCGCCCAGTAACATTCAGGTCTAATGCCCTTCCCATTCCAGTTCCCACCAAGGCCCCCTTCCATGACCATCTGAATCTCATACCGCGAGAGGAGATAAGCGAGCAACAGCTTCAATTCCTGCGCGGCAAAGAATCTTCCAGGACAAGCGTGCCGACCGTGTCCGAACCCAAGGTATGAAGGGGATGTAGCGATGAAGGAGAGGTGGGCCTTGTCCAGGTACTCCTTTTCTCGATCTGCTCTGTCTCTATCACCATCCCCAAGTCCACTGGAGACTTTGTCTCTCAATTCCACGAACCGGAAAGCCTTGTATTTGTCGGCTCCCTCGTAAAGGGTCTCGTCATTATGGCACCCCCAACTATGTGTGGCGACCATACATCCTTCGGGCACATGTGTTCCATCGGGCGTCGTGATGCCACCGGGAGCAACGACCTTTTGGTTCACCCCAACACCTATGATACTCGCGCGCCGTGAGCTTTCTCGGAGGGCAGAGTCGAGGTAGTGCATTTTGGCGATAGCCGTGCGCGACCACATCCTCGAAGCCGGTCCTGATCTGGCATCTGGCTCCATGTTGTCCAAAGCCTCCTGCCGCAGCGTTTCCAAGACACGCTCGTTGCGTGGTGCGGCAAGGATATCCAGCAAGGCATTGGTGCCGATGAAACTGGTCGTGTGGACGGACGCGAAGTTCACGTGCAGAAGGCGCGCACAGATGATCTGCGGATCTGCTTCGTCTGGAGACGGATACGATTTGGTGAGCGAACGGGTCAGCAGCCATTGGAGAAAGTCGTTCTTTGCTGTGTCCTCGGGCTGCTCCGTCTCGCTGTCCTTGTGTTCTGCCTTGGAGTCGGCGGTGGTGACGTCCTGGAGGCGCTGACGCCGGAGAATCTCGGGCGTGAGGATTTCAGTGTATGCGCGAGTATGCTTACGATTGGAGGATGTCACTATCAGAGAGACAAGAGGCCGGAGTATGCCTGGGAAGAGTCGCAGTATTGTTGCAGAAAAAGCAATGTCTTCTGCAAAACCGATTGCATTCTTGAGGTATTCCTCGTCACGGCCTGCAGGCCATGCTTGATTAGCATTTTGGACAATGAACACTACCGATGTAAATTGTCTTCTAGAGAAGACGGCGATGCTCCCTTGGGGACGATGTATGCTCTTCTGTGTCAGGCTGCCTTGGGCCATTGGATTCTACACGCTGTCCACGTTGACCCGCCTCTTTACCAGACGGGAAGGGAATATACTCACATAGTGGAAGCCCGACAAAGACCCTGTTGGAAATTCTAGCTATAATCTTGGTGAGACTGTCGAAGAGCACCACGGTCTTCCACCCGTCGGCGTCAGAGTAGTATTCAAAGTCGGGATCAGCTTCGCTGCCCCAGATTTGATCTACTGCTGTGGCTAATTCGTCGCACACTTCGGGCGTGACATTGAAGACTTGCCTGGTCAGCTCGGACTTAATGACGTCTATCAAGGGGCATGAACGGTCAGCGAGGTTCAAAGACAGTGCAGCCGGGGAAGAAAATGCCATGTTTCAGGTCCCAGGACAAAAGATGCCAGAGTAAGGAGAAGGGGAAACACACCGAAGTGAACAGTTGGATCCATAATCTCGGGTTTGGGGAAAGTATATCGGGTCTGTAGGATATGCTTGTGGGCGCCATTGACACTGAGGACGTCGTCAGGCTGGGCGATCAGCCACGATGTGTTGGACGGCGGGAGCAGAACGACCTCGCCATCGAGAGTGGCGAGGATGCACGGCTTGTTGTGGCGAGCATACTGTGTTGGAGAGTATGGTCAGATGAAGAAGGACAAACAGTGCGCGATAGGGATGTCACGAAAGGATATCAATGGCAGCGATGACATCGGCCATTGCTTCTCTCCTCCCTTTTCTGATCTGGTATCTGTCCCACAGAGGCCAATGACTGAGAGAAGGAAAAGAATAAAGAAGCGGCGAGAATGATGGGAGAGAGACAGCAACACCTATAAAGCTCCCCTCTGACCCAACATTTAGAAACCTACCTGATCATATGCCCTCCTCAAGGCCTCTTCGTAATTGATAGAGCACCACAGCCTGGTCCTCAGATTGCGCAGGACCCAGGCCCTATCGTTGCGCGCAACCCACGGCAGATCCGGCAGGGTCGGATTACTCTTCCGGCGCCAGCGTAGCAGTAGAAAGGCGAGCAGTAGGCACACTGGGAAGACGATGTTCAGGGAAGTGGTGGTGAGGGAGACGGAGAGGATGTCAGCTGGAGACCTGGCGGCGTCGGAAGCCATGGCGGGCGACCCCAAAGCGTGGGTTCAATCAAGCCTGTTCCTGGTCTGTGCAATTTGGCTTTGTCCAAGAGCGCCGGCCCACCCCTCTCTACCTCCCTCTCCTCTCTCTTGTTTCCCTAGGCCAGCTTGTCTTTTGAGGCGGGAACAGGACAGGTAGGATCTGACGGTCTGGCGGGAACAAAGTCAAGGGTCTGAAGCAGAGTGCTGTCGTGTCAGAGGTATTATTGGAGATAGGGTTGGGGTGGTAGAAGAGCAAAACGCATAGGAGAGAGAAGGATCAGAAATGAGTTTACGTGGCAGGAGAGAACTGACTGAGCAGGTCGCTAGATGCCCGGAGCAATAGAGAGGCTGAGAGGGTGCTGTAGAGCTCTTGGTGTGTGGTTTGCTGTAGGTACAGGTCGACAGGGTACTCGGTACATAAGGGAGTGAAAGAGTGAAAGGGTCGTAAGTACCGAGTACCTACGCAGTCCCTGCTGTCTTTCACCTTCTCTTCACGCCTCCCCTTCTCGACTCTTCTCCTTCCCACGTGCCCACCAGTCAATGTAACAAGTCTCACTCTCTCAAATCATTATCCACCATCCACAATCACCTCCTTGGTCTCCCGCCCAATGAGAAATTGCCACACTCCGGACACATCAACAAGTGGTCTTATCATGCCTATTCACTGTTGGCAATCGGTGGCCTCACGGCCTGGGTCTAATGCTCTTTAATGCTTGAGATGCTTGTGACTTGTCGTTGCTAACGCAGTCCCAGGAAGTTAGAGCGTTTCTGCGCTTGCACCCCCTCGAGCCGCGATGTCATTATTATGCAGACGTACTCGGTACAAGTCCTTCAAGCGAAGGCGACATACCCCGAGGGGTACGACCCGGCCCCTTCCAACCACGAGTACATTTGCACCAACTACCTATATCATGGGTGATCACTGTCGAACTGAGGCATTTCCAATCTTACGGAGAGGGTGAACTCGACCATTCCACCTGAATCTGAATCTGCTGTGCCGCCTCGTTCCATACGTCCCAGCACCGTGGCTGGAGCACATAGTCCCACCACAAGAAATGCGACATCAGAGTCTGAAACAAAATCCAGTCCAACAGTCGCCGATCCTCGCGCAAGCTCCGACTCAGCTGCAAGACGTACCATTCCTGGTGAACCGTCCCATGCGCTGCCATGGCGCCCATTGTCAGACACCAGACTGTGAGCTCACGCTCCATCTGTTCTTCCAGCGTCTCGCCTGTAAAGAATAATTCCAGCGCTTTGCGCAAGTCGTACGCAAGCTGCAACGTGATGCTCACAGATTCCCCGAGCGGGAAAAGGACTAGATCGCTGTAGATCAGTGCAGCAAGTCGTACCATGTTGTAGAGAGAGTCCTCATGTGAGGGCACCAGATCCAACGGTGGATCGAGCGAGCATAGCTGATGCTGCACGGCATTCCTGACTGTGCATATATCTCTGATTATAGGTGCCGTGGGGGCCTTCCGGTGATACAGGTCGATGCCCAGCGTCGCTCGACATGCTAGCATTAGAGCTCGTAATAGCCCGGGATTTTGCACGCAGGAGAAGCCTCGACCCATCACCAGAGATAGTTGGAATGCACGGGGATCGAGCACAAGGTCCTTGAATGCTTCGTAGGCGTAGCGCAGCTTGTTGGGCCACGGCCAGAGAGGGCGGACGCCGAGACGAGTCGAGACGAACGTGTCCGCACTGGAGACAAAGGAGTCAGTAAGACCAATTCAAAGTATGTCGGGTCAGGAGGATCAAAGTGGAACCCACAAGCTGAACACATGGCAGTGATCGGGCAGAGGGGAGCCATCTATACCACCAAGTGGCTCGAGGATCCGGTAAAACCGTCGGATCTGCTGGATTCTGCCGGGCGTCAATTCCATGTTGTTGAAAAGGTGTAGATTCTGCGCTTTGGCCATGGGGGAAACGGGATATCTGGACGGCTCCTCCTCGTGAGTTCCAGCAGGCCATGTCACCAAAAGCAGCGCCAGAATTATACTCTTCCAAGGCGGCATCGGATTCCTCTGGACGATATCTGCAACCGCCTCGAGAGTCTTCCGCTCATGGTACGATACTGCTCGTGCTACCAGTGACCGAGACTGGTCATTCGCCGGAAGCAGTCGTAATCTGTGTCCCCCTGCGTTGACAATCTGTGCATGGAGAATAAAAGGAATCTCCCGTGCGTCCCTCCGTCTCATGGCTTCATATCGTTCGGTGGTGATCGGATCCTGGTTCAGCACTGCAGGCCAGACGAAGCGGTAGGCTTGGAATACCGAGCGACAATCAGCAATGCTGAAGAAACCAGAAATTTCCGACACCCAACTGACCACCATCGAGGGATCAGGGACATCGCAACTTCACAAAGAACAAACCGGACGAGGGTTGCAGAGGTCGCGACTCACAATGTTCCAGGATATCGTAGATGAAAGGAGGCAGCCCGCTAACCGGGGCCGTGTCAAACGGGTCATAGTTAGCCTGGCTCAGTGAGGTTGTGGAGGTCAAACTCGTGGGTACCAGCGGCAACCCGTGCACGATCTGCGGACGTTCTGGAGTTTTGGGTCGTACCGCCAGCTTCTGTCTGATAACTGGAAGCGTCGAATCGTCACCATCGTGTTGAACATCGTCATCAACCGAACGACGGCTAAGTCTCTTTGGGGAGCGACGGCTCGAGCTGACAGCTTCGTCTTCGGCCTGCGGAATGGGTCGCTTGAGTCTGGAGTTCCGCGCTGCATGAGCTCGACGATCTGCATCTTGGAGTTCTTTCTCCCTCTGCGAGCGGGGTGTGGAAGGTAGAGACTGATTCAGGAACAGAAACTCTCGCTGCGGGTCGGAAGCCATGTAGGTAGATGTTGTGCTAGAAATCCATCATGACGGGAAACGCGATTGATATCGTCCGAGAGATAGGCCATTCGCCCAGGAAGGAAAGGCAGAAATGACAATCTGGGGATCGCATGACCCTAACTCTAAGCGACAAGGGCCATGTCGAAAGTGGAATTCGCAGAATCCCACAGGTAAACTGGATGAGGAGAGCCAAAAGTTGGCGACGACCAAAGCGAGGTGCTGCCGGAAGCCGGGACAGACGCTGAGAATAGTCTGTACAGTAGGCTTTGATAATCAAGATGGCCGGGGCTTGAATTCCTATTTCTTGCCCCCCTGTTGCCAGGACCCTCCCATGGTGACACCCGTAGTCGGACCGTGGTAAGGAATGAGTCAGCGACGGGCTTCTTCCATGGCTCCAACAGCGACGGCGACCGTCATGTTGTTTTGGTGGTGTAACTTCAGATCACGATTGACCTCTATCTCACCGCCCGTCGATTCGGCAGTCGTGAGACCTCCGAGTGAAAAACATCGTATGCTGTCTCATCAAGTATCATTCTGCAGCAGCGAACCAATCGAGGGACGCATGTCAGACCGTGGGGCTGAGGCTGGTCGAGCTGCGATAGGCCAGGAATTGGTGGTGCATGTGGAGTGTATAGACAACCCAGTATGCGAAGAGAAACGTAAGCAACCCGCTCGCTTCGCCTACACCCATCTTCCTTTCAAGCTTGGCGGCTGTTCTTGGTGAATCCTCAAGGAGATGACTAGCTGCAAGCGTGGGAAAAATGTTGACGAGGAAAAAAGGACAGCACTGTGTGGCTGGGATCCAGATCCCCAAAATACTTGAAATAGCAAAGGCTCCGCTGTTTTCTCGAGGTTGACACACAGCTGTTAAGTCAGGGGGTCCCGAACCCCTGCCATGCGAAGGGAGGCAAACGAACTTCTGGGGGTGCTTGCCGTGCCACTCGTCGAAATTTCTCCTATGCCAGTCCCACGGCCGCCAATTCCAAGCTTGTCGAATGCGCAGCATCATGATACACTGTCCACCCCAGCAAGCGTCGTGTGTCGATGACACTTACTCCCGTACATACCTGCTCTGGCGGTGGCGGTGGCGGTGGGTGATTCGGAGGAAATCAGATGCAGGCTTGGTCATATCTCAGATACACCTAATCAACGACGCATTGGCCATTTACCCTTCATTCATGGGAGAACTCTCGTCAGGCCGACTCCTTGGGATCCTCTGTGTGTGAAACCTTGAGAGGGAGAATAACATACCCGTAACTGGGTTTCCTGCAATCGCAATGTTCCCTCAGCTGGCCTCGACCCCAGGGTGGTGCCTCAGGATTCGAGGCCATCTCGGCGGGCCTGGAGTGTGTCTCGACAATGACGCTCACGAAGTCTCTGACTGAGGCCGGTGATGCGTTATGCTGTTTCCGCGCGATCTCCGCCGACATGTGGTTGGACATGCTTGACAACGAAGTGCATGTTGCGATTCGTGCTGGACCCGAATATGGTGGTCCATTTGTCTTGCAGACCACGTTCAATATCTCCCAGGTTGTGCATTGCTTGTCACAACCCCTGTCAAAGATGAATCAACTCAGCCATCTCACTAGCGCCTCCATCAGAAGTCTTCTGTCCACAGGCTTGGCGACATAATCATTCATGCCTGCCGCGAGGTATGCTTCTTCGTCTCCCTTCAACGCATTAGCAGTCATGGCAACGATAGGAACCACGTGACCCGCTTCTCGAATTCTCCTTGTGGCGGTCACGCCATCCATTACCGGCATAGAGATGTCCATCAGGATCAGGCTGTAGGCTAGAGGCTTTTGGGTCACCAACTTGACCCCTTCCGCACCATCGGAGGCGACATCCACCTTCTCGAGGCCAAAGCTTCGCAAAAGACGAACCATGATTGTTTGGTTTATGCCGTTGTCTTCGACGAGAAGGATGTGCTTGGTCTCCGCCAACTTCTTGAGATCCACTTCCAGCGTGCCCTTCGGAAGTGGTTTAGCTGGTGAGACTTCTAATTTGTTGACTTTGGAAGTGAAATAGAAGATGCTTCCCTGGTGCTCTGGATTCCGCATATAACCTACCACACCGCCCATGAGTTCAGCCAAACTCTTGCAAATGGAAAGACCGAGTCCCGTGCCCTTGTACCTTTTGGTCGAAGAGGTGTCTAGCTGGGTGAACGGGGTAAACAAGACATTCTCTGCCTCAGGAGTGACACCGATACCCGAGTCGATCACTTCGGTTTTGATGGCATACGAGGCTTCGTCCTCGTCGGTAAGAGCAACCTTGACCCGTACATAGCCCCTGTCGGTGAATTTGATCGCGTTTGCCACCAGGTTTTGTAAGATCTGACGATAGCGGAGAGGATCCCCCTGGACAAAATTCGGGAGGCGAGGATCTAGGTCGATTTCGAATCTCAAATTCTCGGTTGATCCGATGTTGAAACAGCGTCGGACTGCATTAACAATCTCCACAATATTCATGACCTCCTTGTTGAGTGAAAAGGTACCGGAACTGAGCTTGGAGTAGTCGAGAATGTCATTGATGACCTGCAACAGAATGGCCCCCGATTCATCGATGATGTTGGCAAGCTCTTTCTGTTCGTTTGTGAGGCCCGTGTCGATCAATAACGACAAGGCGGACAACATCCCATGCATCGGGGTTCGGATTTCGTGGCTCATATTGGCCAGGAAGTCGGACTTCATCTTGGATGCATCTTCGTATGCAGCTATCAGTCGCGCTTCTGCCGCCTTTCGTTCCGTCAAATCTCTGGTGATTTTGCTAAAGCCAGTCAAAACTCCGTCGCGGTAGACTGGAGAGATGATGACATTTGCCCAAAACCTGGACCCGTCCTTCTTGACACGCCAGCCTTCGTCTTCCACTTTGCCCTCTCGCAAAGCCACTTGCAACTCCTTTTCCGGTTTCCGTGCCTTTCGGTCCTCTTCGCTATAAAAGGCCGAGAAGTGTTTCCCCAAGATTTCCTCCTGGGTGTACTGTTTGAGCAACATGGCGCCGGTGTTCCAGGTGGCTATACAGCCCTCGGCGTCAAGCATGAAGATGGCATAATCGTGAAGGGTGCTAACCAAGAGGCGATATGTCTCTGCCGATGACAGTTGAGCGAGGTGTTGTTTTGTCCTGTCGACCTCTTCCGTAGCGTCGAGACCCTCTACAACTACGTAGAGGAGTTCGTCCTCGTCAAAAATCGGCGCCACTCGGACCCGCCAATAGCTGGAAGCCTTGAGCCCTGGTAAGGGTTCAGAGCGCTGCTCCTCGCGGCTCGCGATTGCACCCTGGATCAGTTGGGTGGTGGTGACGGCATCTGTTGGTAAGAGCAAGTCGCCGATCGTCTCCAGAAAGGGTTTGCCACGAACTTTGTCCAGGGAGATATGAGCCTGCTTTTGCCAGGAATTCGACAGCATGACTATTCGTAAATCTTTGTCGAGGACAACCGTCGGCGTTGGCGACATAGCGAAGATTCGTTCCATGCCTGCAGGTTTTTGGCAACTACAACTCGAGGTTGGACTTGGAGGAGGACTGAGGTGATCCGACGTCAAAGAGTTTGTTAGCGGGGCGGCAAAACATGATTTGCTCGCCGCCCTGACGACACCATCAGGATGTTCCTCCGCGCCGCGTTTTCGAGAGACCATCTTCGCTTGTCAGGGAGACTTCATGTCTAAGTTTGCGGCCAAAGGACCGATCCCAGAAGCCAGAGTGAATGTCCAAACTTTCGAACCGCAGAGATGGAGGGCTGGTTACAAATAATGGCAAAATGATGAAACCTGATCCCTACGGTAGGGGGGAACCTGCTTGACACGGGATCGAATTTACCATGAATAATAACGACATGCAGAGAAGGGCAATGCGGAATTCGGCGTAGGCACAATGGCCTTCATGTACTGACGAGATGCGACTTGTCGAGACTCGGAAGGAGCACCTCATCAGCCCAAAGAAAAACGCGCCTAGGGTTCGGGTGGTTTCTGGTGCTCAAGGATGACTGAGCATCGTGCTTAGGGACACTGGTCCGGAGGGAAGTTGTTGGGATCGAGGGCGACTCGAGGGCCCAGTGCTCGGTGCCACAAGCCAGTAACGGCCCCCAAGAGCAACCCCTTTGACCGACTCCAAGCGCAGTGACAGTCAAGTTGGAATCGTAACTGGGCCTGTTGTCCTTGTGCTCGCATCCGACTTGAGGCGGATTTTGCGACGGCTTGCGCCAGGTGAGGGTTTCGCAAGACGGGGAGCGCCGGCAAGGCAGCCACTAGGCGGCCGTCAGGGGCGCCAGAGGGCCTTTGGCACCATGATCTGCGCTGCAACTAGGAGCCTCCGACAACGTGGTTGGGTTTGAATTCTTCCCTATTAGGCTTTTCGGCTTTCTCGCTTGTTTAAGTGTGCGGCAAATCCCCTGCAAGGCCTGTAGTTTTTTTGTAGAAAAAAATTGGTTTCCTTTAGCACCCGCCAAACAGGATTTCCACACTGTGCCCCCTTGAACGTACTGTCTGTGCGAGCGCTAGAGCTATTGACACGCCTTGTGTGTCCAATGGGGCGGCGTGTTGCAGGTGGCGTTGAAGGGTCCGAATACGAGTTGAAACAAGCTGGAAGGGGGACTAGGCTCGATGCACAAGCACTGACCGTTTGCTTCGGCTGGCACCGACCAAGGCCCTGTGAGCCCCTTTGGAGGGCAAGCGGAGTCTGCGGCCGGAGAAAAGGTCCGAAGGAAAGTTAGGTGAAATTGGTAGTAGTAGGGATCTCTGAAGGTACTCGGGACGAGGTATTGACTGCCGGTGCGCATTGGTCTCAATCGACGATAACCGAGTGAGGCTGGAGTACAATACGGGTGATGCAGGAGGTCAGATTTTGGTGCTGAGCATTCATTCCTCTGTGCCTGAGGCCAGCAGAAAAAAGACAATGAGCGAAAGTGGTTTGTAGCACACCAGCATCACACAGCAGCATGATTTCCTCGTATTGGTCGAGGGAGGAGCGATATGTCAAATGATCACACGGCCGTGAGGAAGCAAAGGATGGATGGTGAGTGGCGGTGAATTCTGACGGAGGTTACGGAGAAGAGTCGGAGCCTAGGGCCGGGGGGGAGGGGGGGAGGGGCAAATCATGGGCGTTGAGGTGGCCCCTTCGAGTAGGCACGGTGCCGCCCTTTCCCGCTTGGACCACCCCCAAATATGTAAGAAGTGTGTCATTATTTCCTGGAGTATTACCAGTACTAGACAGGCTTGATAGGCTGCTAGGGTAGGTGACCCTCAGGTGCCACATTGGGGGAGTTATAGAGACGTGTCTCCCTGCGCCATCTGCACATGCAACATGCCATAATCAGATTTTCCTCATGCATCGATTCCCCGGAGGAGATGATTATGATCATCATAATTATTGTTAAATTCTCATTAGATCCTTCTACGGTGTGTTTGATGACGCTGCCAATTTGGGTGTTTGTGTTGTGCCAAACTAGTATGTAACCATAGTGGGTAGCATACTCGGACGTAGTCCTTTTCCCTCCGGTCCAGAGCCTTAGGAAAGACGACACTTGCTATGGAAATGCCAGCTTGCCAGATACAAGGCGAGAGCAGAACTGGTACCGAAAGATTCTCGAGTCCGTCGTCTGTTTGTTCTATTTAGGTACGAGCCATAAGTACTCAGTACTAGACCTGCATATCTTTACTCCGTATACTCCGTAGGTAGGTATGTACCATGCCAGTTGATGCTCAAAACAGATCAGAGCTCTGATCAGTTCTCTGATCAGTGCACCTCCCTGGCCATAAATACGATGTCATAAGGACTTGGTCCATGTGCCCATGGCCGCTGCACTTTTATGCGAATTCTAACGCCGTTAACGCCTTGCTCTGTACGCCCTCATTTGAGGGAGTGGTTTGACCATCTCTTCAACGTATTTCCCTGCTCCGCCTGCCTTCTCCCAGATTCAGGGGATGAAATATTTTCTGGCTCTCCTTTCTACCACACAGTTGTCCGGGGCACGCGGGAAATGTCGACAAAATCATACCTCGTTGGGTCGATTGTGAAGCGTTGAGAATTTGTAGATGGCAATTACATCACCTCTTTGTGCTTTGATGATGACCAGCTTCGCTCTGCCATTCAGACTGGTCTTTGCTTTCTTCTCTGATAGCTGCGCCTTGACCCTTGGCAATTCAAAGACTCAAGCGGTCTAAGCTGCGAACTCTTCTTCCTGTTCCACCTGTTACCAAGCCAAGTTTGTAAAAGGTCTCTTCGCCCGCTGCATTCCGGCCGCCGATATACCACTTTTCCGGACCCACGGCATCAATGAAGCCCCCCGACGCATTGGAGCTGTCGCTGCCACGTCTTTGTCGCCCTCTTGTCATCGGTGTGGACGTGCCGGGAGGTGACATTGATAGATTGGTGGTTGTATGCGTGCCATGAGGACCGGGCGAACTCGTCCCTGGCGACTTGGACATAGGTGGTGCGTATCGATGTGAACTTGGGTTAGACGAGAAAGGGAGAGGTGTTGTTGAGTTGGGTTTGGACTGCACTTGCTGCGATGAGGGGGTTGAGGCTTCTCCCGGACCTTTTGTGGCTATTGTTCTTGTACTTGACGAGGTGACTGTTGCCGTGGTCGTAGAAACATGTGCGGCTGCCACAAGCGAACCGGGCGACAAGGCATCGTAGGTTGAGCTGGATTTTGCCTGGAACGCCGGGCTCGTACGGGCTCGAAAGGCTGAGAAGAAATTGGCGAAGAACGGTCGGTTGGTAGGCATGGTTTCTACAGACTTTGCTCTGGAGCTGGCGATGTCGGATGGTAGATCAGAAATGTTGTTGACTGTTTGTCGACGCACCCAGGGACAAGACTTTAAAAAGAGTGACCCGATGCTCAGTAACCGATTAGGAATTGGTGAACGCAGGCTGCGATAGGCCTGGACGTGCCTGTCCCTGTACACTGTAGACGCCCTTCACCCGCACTCTTCCGTGAGGTCCCTCCGCACTCTTAACCCTCTTTTGTTTGAGCTCTCCACAAGAGGACCATGTGTATCTCGTATTGATCAGACTAGCGTACCCTGACCGACCTGGGCTGGGTTCGAAATCGTGCAGCGACACTCAACAGTGGGCGGCGCAGGCGGATATTATTATGGTAGGGCCAAGTTCGGTAGGAATTTCCGAGATGCAGCAGGGCTGAGCCAGACAAGAAGCGAAGATCCTGGGTTTCGGCGAAGAGATGAAACTGGGCAGGCGATCGAGGGTGAAACAGAGGAGGCGCAGAGTATGGAAATTGGAGTATGTCAGAGAAGATAGAACATTTACTTGTAGATATGAATCACGGCCGAAGGAGGAGTGGGTTTCAAGAAGCAATATCGTCACCTGCAGACAGTGGGAATGCCCGGCTTGCGATCCATCATCCCTCATCGGGCGATGATGGAGGCGAGGAACAAACCGGGAGTTTGGAAGCGAAGTAACAACAAGCGGACTGAGTTGCAATTAGATCCAGTGTCATTGGTGAAGCCCTGTGGCTCTCCCACCTGTTCATCCCTCGGCTTTACTTTCAACCCACATTTCTGCCTCTCTATCCACGCACCTCTCTGCCGCTTCAGTCAAACAACCAGAGCGATGCATATCACGAGAGAGAAACGAACTCCCTGCATTTTCTGAAGCAAAGGACTCTTGTCACTAGATAAAAATCAACTGCGATTGTAGCCAAGGCTTGGCCATGACACATTGCTGTCTTTCATGTGCCCCCAATATCAGGCCAGGACACAAATAGAATCATCCTATGCTAATCCCATGCTAACAGCATATTTCCCCCAGGGATGAGACTGAGGATTCATCCTCTGAGGTGTCAGTGTCGGTACACATACACCACAACACGTCCTAGGCAGCGACAATGCGCAATTCAAGCCAAGGTACTCTTATTCAATCTCATCTGGCGTCGTCAGTGTCATCTACACATCTGCTTTCATGGACATCTTTCCCAGCCTACTTTGCCGCACGCCATTAGCAAGAGCCAAAGTACAACTATTCACAACATCCGTTCATCAGCTGATTCGAGCGTGTGCTTTTCAGTATCTGAGCCCCGGAGCGGTTCAGAGCAATGACAGCGAGGGATGACAAGTAGAGTTGCCATCTCGTGGGTTCTCAGCGGCGTATCGTCGTCTAGTCGTCGTCCTCATGATCAAACTCGAGTATCTGACTCAGGGTTAGCCCAGTATGATATAGGGTATGGATGTGGAGGATCACCATATTATTCCAATTTCCGCCATGAGATGTCACTGTACTTGGTCCCATGTTTTCAAATCCAAGTCCTTTGTAGAATGGAACGAGATGATCGTGGGCAAGTAGAGCTATCCGGTCTGCGATCTTGGAATCTTTCATACGTTGGATGTATGATTTCATCAAGATCGAACCCAGACCCATTCTCTGAAACTCGGGTGCCACTGCCACAGAATGAACACAGATAGTTCCACCCATATCTTGATGGCCCACGGGCTCCTTATCGGTGTTGGTTGGTAGCGAAGATCTCCTGGTCCTCCAGTTTGAGGGCACGCCCATCGAAGCCTCAGTAACACAAGGTGCCGGAGTTCTGGTCGAAACTACATGGGCTATTAAGCGTCGCTGAGGCGGTGTTGACGAGTCCTTCAACTCTGCTTTAGTTGGCTGGGTGAACAGCCCTAAACTCAACTCGGGACACCTGGTCAGACGGTATTGAAACTGGGTACAGGCCATGGTCAGCAGAATGACCAAGTATCGGCATAAAAAAGTGCTTCAGGTAGTATGGCTCGCATGAGGACGAGGCTTGTTTCAGCCATACCTTTTCTCGAGTTGCCCTTTCCTCTGGTGGAAAAGCCGCCTCCTCAAGTGAGGTGCACTCGTCCACACTTGATATAGACAAGGCCTGGTTTTCCGGATGAAGACGATCCCATTTGTGTGAAGAACCCCGTCGACGTGCCCCCAACCGCCCAGTCAGCATGTTCAATAAAGGGTGATTGGCCATGAAATCACGGTCGTCCTCCTCAGACTCGTCTTCTTCTTCCGGATTCTCCTCAGCCTTGTCTGAATGACTAATCCGCTGTAACTCTAAAGGGTCAGACGATGGTTTTGAGGGTGGAGCGACAGCATCTGAATCGCTGTCTTGCATTTCCACGTCCTCGGGATGGATGTCGATGAAGCCATCTTCGTTTTGTGAGGGCTGACCGCTTCCGGCGTCGACCTTGGCGGAACTTGGCTTTGTCGATTTCTCTAATTGGCTCGATGGATCCTGCTTTGGCGCCATTTTTACTGGTTCAGAGCAGTTATCAACCGGATAAACAGGCGACTTCTACTGTGAGATGCCGTTCGAGGGAGGATTGGACAGCAACTGAATTCGCGCCGGTTGGCTGGCAGATGACTTGGCTGTTTGATTGGGAAGCTCCAAGAACGCGCCGTCATAAGACTGCAGGCGAAACAAAAATGTGAGGGGAGAGTGAGAAAAAGCTCCAAGAAATGGTGTGAGGTGAAAATTCAAATTCTAACTGACCTTACACGGATGTGTCAAGGGGTTTAGATGAAGAATGGTACAATCGTTATGTTAAGATTGCCAGTGCAACTGAAGAGCGATAACCACTCAAGAATGATTCAGACACTCGATTAATGGAGAGGTTGAAGTGTCAAAAAGTAGTGCGACTGGCTCAGCAGTACAAGTAGTTGGAAGTGAGACGAAGAAATTGCCATGGCACATGGCACGCGACTCTCCCTAGGGCAGTCAAGGCAGGTGGGCAATAAGGCACCGTGTGCGCCTTCCGAGGGGCTGGCGGGCGCGAGTGGCTCTCTTGCTCCTCCCACTCTAGCAGGAAATACAGGCGATGCAGGCACACCGTGGGGGTTACAAGGGGGGCACAAGATTGTCTAGACCCCTACAAGCCCTCTGTATCTATGTACGAGGTACCTAGGTAGGTAAGTTTTACCTGTGAGCAAGTAATAATAAACTCTCCACACCCGATCTGCAAGCTACAGCTAGGACCCAGGTACCCCAGAACATATTAAGAAATATAAGAGGATCCTCATTCTATCTGTTGGCATCAACAAGGCACGGACCATCCGACTCCTAGGTGCCTAGATACCGTATGCACGACGTACCTGAAATAGATATCGCTCTGGTAGGATCTGGAATTGTGCTTGATACGTACCTAGCTACATACCATCTACCCCGCCATGCCGCCCAAGGGTTTGCTTACAATTTGATACAAGCAGACAAGGTATCGAGTATGCTTGGATGCAGTGGCTCTTCCACTTGAAGTCTTGTCTGGATACAGCAAGTGAAGCGGCCTGGCCACCCCGGGTGCGTCATCGCAAATATGCCTAAGCGGTTCATTATCCTGCAACTCATCCACAAGGCAATATTTTGTTCTTTACAACGTCTTCACCTTTTCTGTGCCACAGGACAATTCTTTCTCTTATCTTTGCGTTGGATTCAGCTCGTCCCTGTCTTGTTCCAAGAGGCGTTTGAGAGCCCACCCCAGTCTCGCATCACACCTGATACACCTTGTCTTAAGATTCAACCACCATCATGTAGGTGCAAGCCATCCGGTGATACTGTCACCGCTGTTCTGGACTGACTTTCCGCAGGCGCACATCCATAACCATTGTATCCTCTGACAGAGAGCTACCAGTAGATCTCATCACTCTCGATGTGGGCCCCGATATGACCCTGAATGACATCAAAGCCTTCGTCGAAGCTGAGATTGGGGTTCCTCCATCTGCCCAAATATTCTTAAGAGATGGGATGGCAGTCACAAACACTTCCATAACGCTTGCACAGTTTGACGTCCAGGAAGGTGGTATAATACCGATGGCAATCCAGGCCAATCCTCCAAGACGACGAACCGCTCAAGGTACATCCAGTGGCCAACCCTCAACGCAGAGGGCTAGAAACTTCAACCACTCTGAGCCATTGCGATCCCGGATATTAGGAGACCCTGCCATCATGGCCGATTTTCGGAGACAAGATCCCGAACTTGCAGCTGCCGCTCAGGATCAAGAGAGATTCCACGATCTACTACAAGAGAGGCTGAGGCAAAACGAGCAGATGCAGAGAGAGAAAGAAGAGCAGATTGCGCTTCTAGAGGCGGATCCTTTCAATGTTGATGCACAACAGAAAATTGAAGAAATGATACGGCAAGAACGTGTCACAGAAAACCTACAGAAGGCAATGGAAGAGTTTCCGGAAGGTAAGTCAGAGATCTACTCCCAGGCTGACCTAGCCTGACGCTCGTCTTTTATAGCATTCGGCAAGGTCACCATGCTCTATATCGATGTCATCGTCAACGGCCATCCCATCAAAGCTTTCGTGGACTCAGGAGCACAGACGACCATCATGTCCCCGTCAGCTGCCGAACGGTGTGGCATCCTCCGGCTGGTCGACAAACGATTTGGGGGTATTGCAAAAGGTGTAGGTACCGCCCAAATATTGGGTCGAGTTCATTCGGCCGAAATCGAAATTGGACAGTACAATCTCGCCAGCAGCTTCACAGTCATGGAAGGCAAAGATGTAGACCTGCTACTAGGGCTTGACATGCTCAAGCGGCACCAGATGTGCATCGATCTGAAGAAAAACTGTCTCCGCATTGAAAACGACGAGATTCCTTTCTTACCAGAAAGCGAAATCCCGAAGATGATGGAAGATGTGTTGGAGAGTGAGCCCAAAATTGAAGGCCCTGGTGGCAGCACAGTTGGCGCAAAGACCGGAACTGTCATGCCAGGAGCATCGGCGGGATCAGCTCAGACAGGGTCAGGGGCCGGTCAGGCAAGCGCCAGCACTGCGAATCAACCGTCGTTATCAGGTCCTTCCTCTACAGCTGTTTCATCTCAACCTGAACCAGGTTCCGGCAACTTTGGAGAATCGCGACCAATCACCGCAGAATCAATAGCACAGGTAACCGAGCTGGGATTTACAAGAGAGGAGGCGATCGCTGCGCTGAGACAGACAGGTGGTAATGTCGAACTCGCCATTGGATTGTTGCTGTGAATCATTTTCTCGGACAATGAGCATGGCGTTATTTGGCTGAGCATAGTCTTCTTCGAACGAACCATGTGCAGAAGGCGTCAGTCCGGTTCGATCAACCTGCGGGCATTTAATAGCTCGCGTTCTTGATGATTAGATGCAGAACAGCAGGCGGAATGCTGGGGCCGAGAGAATTTGATAACAAAAGACCAATGTAGACAAAGCTATTCTATTGAAAATCATCAAGCTCTTTCTTCTTACTTCTATCGCAGTGCCAGGAAACAGGTCCTCTGAAGCGATTAATGAATCTCTCGTGCTTCGTGTCATCGGCGTTTATCACATGAGGCTCCGTGTCGCGCCAAGGCCAGGGACGTTGAATCTGAACTGCGCCCTCAGCCTCCAGAGACCCTGTGAACAACAACTGGCGAACAACTGCACCTTTCTCACCTCCATTCCCTCGAATCGTACGCCAATACACCCGACCGAACTGAGATTTGCGCAACGAGCCATCACTCTCCTCGGAGCGAGAGCATCTGGAGTCGGTCCAGACTGTCAAGTCAAAGACCGAAATGAATCGACAAGGTGGGTTTCCGGTTCCCTCGCCCGCCAAACTGCGTTCACTTTTCTTCTCAATGGAGGGCGGGAAACGAGGACCATCTATAGAATGGACTTCTCCGTCAGAATGAGGACTACGGATGATGAATGGGCTGAAAGAGGGGGCGGTTTGGACACTCGGCTCGGGATGAAGTGTTACCTGGCACGAGCTCAACGGTGAAAAAATACCCAACAGTTGGACTATCAGCCAAAGCTACGATGGATTTCCGGCAAGAACCTGCCAATTTTGGTGCATGTTGGGGCCAACGATGAATGAATGAATAGGCTGCGATTGAGTGAAGCAATCTCTCCACGGAGTCGAGAGGCACAGTCAGGGCATAGCCGCAATCGTGGAGAGATTCACCAAGCCCACACAATGGCATCAGTCCTATGCTACAGCTTTCCTTGAAATATGTGCATGGACAGCATGGTTATCGATGCAGACGTTCACTCGGCGCAGCATCATCAACAACTGCTTGCGGACGTCTGAACGCCTGTTTAGCAGCGCGGCAGCCATACAGCTCTCTTTCTCTCCGGAAGCCCAGATCCGGGTTTCTGCCTCCTTTACAGTTGGGAATGAATCCGCAGGGACACGATTACCAGGTCACGTGGACCACTGATGTCCAAGTGGACCATTCTCTAAATAGCTCGTTAACATTGCTGTTTTCTGTACCTTGCATTGGCCCACGTGCTAACTAATCTTCTCTAGGACAAGGACGACAAATTCCTACAGTGAACAACATGAATCAACACACACAAGGCCGGGCCGCTAGCAGCGGCAGGATGGTTGGGGGTAAGCCTGGTATGTCCGTTGACAAATCCCAAGGATAAGACCTAACGCAACGCAAGCAACTTGGGGGCAAAGTGGGCTTCCCGCACCCTCACAACAAGCTCGAGACGCTGTAGCACCCGACAGCTGGGCACAAGCTATGAACTCGAGGGCCAATACTCAGCTTGACCTATCCGCATCTTCCTTTCCCAGCCTCAACAACAGCAGCCTGCAATCACAGGGTCACAGTGTGGGGTCCAGTGCCTGGCAGACGGGGCCGCCTCAGAACGAACAGGCGCAGAGACAGCAAATGCAAGCCTCGCGAACTCACATTTCATCTCGACAGCAACCGGTTAATGCCAGTCGAGACGGCTTCTACCCTACTGATACCTACTCAAGGAATGCTCCAATGGAGTTTTCTTCGGATTCTTCCCAGCCCGTACGACGAACAAGTCAAGCCCCAAGTGGACCTCCTGGATTTACGCAGCGACAACCAACTCAACAGGGGGACAGCACGCCAGGTGACCCCAGCAGAGTTACTTCGCCGTCCGGGCAGACACAAATTTGTATGGTGGCCACTCTAGTGTGAGAGCGCGGATTGCTGACGGATGAGTTTTAGCTCGGTCACCCATATCTCAGAGTATCAATGCGGCCATAGGTCATGAGAGATTCTTAGGACAAGATGCACGGACGCAATTACAGGATTCACCGTCCCAGTCGTTAGGATTGCAACCGCGGGATATGTTCGCAGATCGGGAAATTGGTACTAGAGCCGACCACGAGTCCATCTTCGCAGGAATGAGTGAAAAAGACAAGTTCGGGATGAAAGGTTACGTTGCAGAACAGGACAATGCCAGTCCAGCAGCAAGAAGTTTGATGCGGGGAGTGGACCTGTCAACGCTCGGCATCAGCATGGGCTCGCAAGAACCCTTACTATCGTCTTATCCAGGACCATGGGCCGAACCCAATGCGACACCGTTGCGGCCATTGGATTCGGAGTACACCATCCCCGAGTGCTACACGGTTAAGAAAATAGCACCACTGTCGACTCGGATTACTGGCTTTGTGGACGAAACGCTATTCTTCATCTTCTACACCATGCCTCGGGATTACATACAAATGCTGGTGGCCCAAGAGTTGGTCGCGCGCAAGTGGCGGTACCACATGAGGGAGAAGCAATGGCTCACCAGGGACGACGCGTCACCTAGTCCGGTATTACTGGACGACAAAGTGAGCGAGCAAGGCTACTACATCTGGTGGGACACCAAACTCTGGAAGAAGGTCCGACGCATTTACACGTTGAGATATGAGGACCTAGAAGAACAACCGAGCATGGGCAACCGGCCAATCCATGCAGGCGTCATGGGCGCAATGTCAGGGAACATCAACGGAGGAATGGGTGTTGGCAATTTCAATGCCGTGCCCAGCCTGGAGAGAATGGCCGCCACTGGGCGAGGATTCTAAGCCATCACTCTCGGGAGGTCGATGACCAAGGACTGAATATGTTGCGTACTGCAGGGATCCAAGCCCTGCAAAGAACGCCTCTGCCGCCTTATCGGAGTCAGCGCGCTTTTGCTGCTGCACACACCGAGACTAAGTTGTACTTGATACAGATGTCAATACACAGTACTGCATCTTGCATTTTATTCTTGATATCACGTGCGCCCCAAGCCCTATATATATCCCCGCGCTTCCGGTCGCTCTTGCCCCACCTGTTCACAACAAGGAGCGGCGTGACTGGCTTTGACTTCGTCGTCGTCGATTGTTATGACTGTTTCATTCTTCTTCATCTTGTCACTCCTATTCAATTGTCTCTCTATCTCTTCGATCTAGCGACATTCTTTTCCTCGTTGACATCTGCTAACGTGTAATTGTCCTTCACTTTTATGGCCATTCTTTCTATACATACTCATCAGACCTATGTCGCACAAGGTTGCGCGTTTCCATTCCGTTCTGCGGATTACGGCGGAGGGATGAAGACATATCCGCCTTAGTTTTCTCTTTTGATCACACGATCGAAAAAGTGCCCCCTTCAATCTGCTCAAGTTTTTCTTCAATTTGGGCATTTCTTGAACGCTGAAATCGAATTGAGACACACGGCTACCGAGTCTCATTTACTGCACCTCAGCGTCCAGATTCGCTACCATTATGCCACTTCTCTCCTGGCTCTCACCTTTCATCAGTAAGCCTGATGCCAGGGATAGCAAGCGTGTTCAAACGACGACCAGCCTAGATCCGAAGCCCATTGAGGATATGGACTTTGATACCCTCGCAGACAAGGTGGAAGCTTTACGAGCTCAGCTCGAATATGCCAATGAACTTTGTGCGCAAGCAAACCTTCAATTTGACAAATATCGCATAGAATTATACGAGCTCCGCAGCTCGCTGGATTTTGAGCGGGCAAGAGGCGACGAAGCGCGGCGCTTGCTGGTGGAGGAGCAAGAAAAGCGCGTAGCCCTTCAGGCACAAGCGAAGAGCCTGCAAACCAGCCTGAGAAACGAGTCTGTCCTTGCTGGTCAACTGCAGGCAAGACTCAATACTGAGATGACGTCGTTGAAGGCCATGACTAAACATGCACGGAAGCTTGAGGAGAGGTTGGTTGATATGCAGTTGGATCTAGAATACCTGAGGTGTACCACAAACGCCGAGACAGTCAGGGACCCTTTGGTCACCCTCGCGCAAGATTCCCCTCTACCAGCGCAGCCATTTGTTGTCGTGCTAGTGGACGGTGACGCCTACTCTGTGAGCATTTATCCGGTCAGCTTGTACTGTGTGGTTCGCTAACCTAGGGAAATCTCAAACAGTGGGCTCGCGATATCTGCAACCAAGGTATTGGACAAGGAGGCACTTCAACAACCACTTGTGCCGATGCTACTGGCCCAGGTGCCATAGCCGCGACGAGGATCCGTAACGAAGTCATCAAGTACATTCTGAATCAGAATGGAACTATTCCGATAACATCCAAGGTTATCACTCGCGTTTTTATCAATTTTGGGGGTGGCGTCAGACAACCCCGGCCTCGAAAGAGCCATACAGGTGTGGCCGTGGCCGATTTTGCGGTCCAGTTCACCGAGAAAATCCCTCTGTTCGATTTCTTCGATGCAGGAAGGGGGAAAGAAAGGGCAGATGACAAAATCAGAGGTATACCTATCATCAAGACCGAAAGTTCATCGCGACTAATGGTCCACGGCTCTAGAAAACTTCCACCTCTATCTCTCGACGCCGAACTGTCACGCAATATTTGTCGCTGCCTGCCTTGACAATGGATTTGCCCGGATGCTTGAACAGTATAGTGATCATCCGGTCGCCCGCCAAAAGATCGTCTTAGTCTCGCCTGGCTACGTCGCAAACGAGATACAGAAATTGGCCCTGAAAGTGGTTGAGTGGCCCAGCGTCTTTGCAGTACGGTCCATGCCAGCCAGTGCAGTTGTCAAGCACAAGAAAGGAACGCAGAAACTGCAAAGCCAGAAAGCCCGCATGCAGCGCAGTGTGTCTACACCATCAATATTTTCCGATGAGACGCGGTCGAGGCTCACGTCGAGATTGTTGGACTTGGTCCCTGTGTGGAGTCCTAACGTGGGAATGAGTAAAGCCTCGAATAGTGTTGGCTTGAGGGTGCAGCAAGTGACAGGGGCTGGTTTCGTTGAGCATCTCGACCTCGCACAGATGGGTGAGGCGGTCGAAGATATTGACTGAGGAATGTTCAGAATAATGGCGGCGTTATCGGTGGGAAATCGGATGAGGGCATCTTGTATCACGCCGCACAGGGGCCGGATTGATTTGTTGACCGGACATGAGCGCTCTTACCTTCACAGGTGGTTCTTCTGCTTCTATCTCGGATTTATATATCGTACTTTAGTTGGACATCAATCGTTGAGTAAACAGAGTCAAGCCAAGGTCAGCACTACCATATTGAATGCCAGTATCATTCACGTCTACAGTGTCCAGGATCATGCAGCTATCATTCTTCATCTGTTCACTCCCTCTCTTCTTTGTCTCAAGTTCTGCCGTATCCTCTGGTTGTGATCTCCATGATCCTGCCAACCCGTGCTATATAGCTGGAGGAGGTGGTGGTAACGACCTCGGCGCCGACCCCGTCCCCTTTGCGGCTCGAGCGTTCTGGATGCGGCGGGCGGTCGCAGCCCTAGCAGACATCAACGACGGCAGTCCCTGTCCGTTTGCGGCCTTTGGCTCTGTCATCGTGAACCACACTGCGTCCGAGAAGGGCTCGGGTGGTGCGGGAGCCGGCGAGATCGACCACCTGGGCGAGGAGGTGTGTATTGGCGCGAATTCGCTCGTGAGGGACGGGAACCCGACGTTGCATGGTGAGTGCCCGAGTGGGATCTGTACTTTGTCTCTCAGTGGTGATGGGGCTGTGGCTCTGCTCTGTCGAGGAGGCGGAGGCGGAGGGCGGATTTTTGTTGTCTCCAACGCGTTTTGTCTTCTTGTTTTCTGTCTATCCACTACTTGAGGATCTCCAGACGTTTCACAGAGCGAGGGCGGTGAAGAAGAAAGCGAAGTGGATGTGCCATGAAAACAGGCGATACAAACTACAAGGGACAGTTGCTAACAAAGCACGCACACCGAAAGGCGAGATCGCGGCCATCAACAACTGCAGCCGGATCCTGACCGACCCGGATGGCCCGTACAAGCTCTCGGGACCCGACGCCATCAAAGCACTGGGTGATTTGAGCCTGTATACCACGGCGGAGGCATGTCCCATGGTAAGCAACTAAGCAAGCAAGCAAGCAAGCAATCCTTCCATATTCCCCCAGCCCGTCACATCTCTGCCCTCCGTCTCTCTCTCTGAATTGCACAATCCTTTCTTTTGAGACGGGCAATCTTCATATTGCGATAAGACTCCTCTTTTGACCTGTGGCGTGGGACCTGGATTAATCCCTCGGGCGCCTTTGGAACAGTGCTCGTCCGCAATCCTCTACGGCGGGTTCCGCGAATACATCTTCTCCACGTCGATCCCGACGCTGCGCTCGCACGGTTGGCCCCAGATCATCATCCGGTCGAGGGAGATCTTCTCCCGCAGCGTCGGCAGGCTGGCGGCGCACCGCACGCGCATTATCGGGGATGTGCTGGCGAACGAGACAGAGGCGCTGTTCAAGTGGCAGTACAAGGATGGGCCTTGTCCCGGGGGATGTGAGAAGGACGGCGTGGGCGGTGGATGTGTGAAATCAACGAATGTGAATGATGATGGCACGGGAAAAGATGAATTGTAAATTCGCCAGGGCGCAGGCGCAGAGTGGTTCGACAGGGGCCACGGTCACGGCGTACATGGCAATAGTCCAGTCCAGTCCAGTCCCGGGCCGATGAAGAAATAGGAAACCCATGCCACATGCCTCGTTTTCCGGAGGAAGCGTGTCTTCAATAGCCCTAAATTGAGAAGGATCTGTTGTTATGACAATGCACCAGTCCCGAGTCATCCATTCATAAGGTCTATCAGAGCCAAGTGTGAGAGCGTCGTGGCCCATAACAACACCCCGGGGTTCAGTCTTTGCTCCCATACTTTTCCCGGTAGGCCTTCATTAGTTCGAGCTGTTCCTGTCCGGCTCCTTCGACTTTGCCGCTTTGAATAGCTTCGAGCAAGTCTTCGAACGTGAGCACCGCCCTTACAGGCACTCCTAACTCGTCCTCGGCAACCTTCATCGCACTTCTCGACTCTGCATCGGAGACACGTTCTTGTCTGGTCAAGAGAAGGACCACCCCAACCACAACGCCGCCCTGAGCTTTGATGATGGAAATGGCTTCTCGCAGGGCAGTGCCGGCTGTCATGACATCGTCAACAATGATCACTCGCTTGCCCTTGAGCGGTGCTCCAGCGACGATACCCCCTTCTCCATGATCTTTTGCTTCCTTTCTGTTGTATGCGTATGAGACCTCCGCAAAATTCTTCCCAGCAAAGAATAGCTCGCGAGTGACGATCGCGCTCAAGGGGATCCCCTTGTACGCCGGCCCAAAGACCACGTCAAAGTGAGGGGCAAATGAGCCATCGGCTTCCGCACCAGCCTCTTCGGTACCAAGCGGGAGGGAAAAGGGAGGCGAGGTCAGCACTGAAGCAAACCCCCGTGCAAGTGCGTCGAGGAGGGACGAAGTGTGCAAAAGGGAAGAGTTGAAGAAGTATGGTGATATGCGACCAGATTTGAGGGTGTAGGTGCCAAAGGAGAGCGCAGAGGCCTTCAACAGCAGAGTGAGGAGGGCGTCCTTGTAGGATGTATCCGTCGCCATCGTTGCGGCGACAGCGTGAGAGAAGTCGTCTGCTTCAGGAGGGGTTTGACGAGGATTTGAGCGTATCTTGACCGATGTATGAGTAGTCTGGCGGGCGGTCCAGCACAAGCGAGATCTGCGTTTGGCGCTTTGCAGAAACGGTGCCTGCCAAGAGCAAACTTTTTCATCCCTCCACGCCAAAACAGTTTTTCGGCGTGGCGCGAAAGGATTCCGGAGTGCGTAAGTGGATACGAGAGTGGGCGTCACCCAGGCGTGGGTGTGGACATGGGCATAGGCATGGCCGTGGGTGTGGGCGTTGCGGTGAGCTGCGAAAAGTCTACGAAGGGTGAGTTCATCACTGACTTTAGGCCCTTTCACCTCTCGATTCCCCTCACTTTTTTTCTGCTATATTCAATCCAATCGACAGACTCGTGCCTTTTTGTTGAAGATCCGACCCTCAATGCCGCGAGAGCTGGCCGATAGGTGGGCTCGCAACCGTTATTTCGGTTGAGTTGGACTTCGGGTTGGAGGAGGACATCATCGTCCTACACCGTGACCACGAACTCGGTCACACAGGAGCAGAGAGGACACTGTGAACAAACGCTCTTTCCACACTGTCTGATTCTCCTCGCTCTCTTATCTCAGTCGCTTTTCTTACAGCTTTTCCCTCGTTTTCCCTCTCCTCCCTCAAGCCTTCGACATGCATGTCTCCAAGAAACTCGAGCTGGCTCACCAGCAGAAGAAGCCGACCTTTTCCTTCGAGTTCTTCCCTCCTAAGACGGCACAGGGCGTTCAGAACCTGTACGACCGAATGGACCGTATGCACAATCTGGGTCCGACATTCATCGACATCACATGGGGCGCAGGTGGGAGGCATTCCCAGTTGACCTCGGAGATGGTCAATGCCACTCAGAATTACTATGGATTAGAGACTTGCATGCATTTGACCTGCACGGATATGGAGCGAAATCAGGTCGACGAGGCTCTTCGCCGGGCGTACAAGACGGGCTGTACAAATATCCTGGCACTCCGTGGTGACCCGCCCAGAGACCAAGAAAAGTGGGAGGCGAAAGATGGTGGTTTCCGCTACGCAAAAGATTTGGTGAAATACATCAAGGCGAAATACGGTGACCATTTTGATATCGGCGTTGCTGGCTACCCGGAAGGCTGTGACGACCAAAGGGATGTCGATCTGCTGATCGACCATCTCAAGGAAAAGGTTGACGCCGGGGCTAGTTTCGTCATAACACAAATGTTCTACGATGTCGACATTTTTCTCAACTGGGTGAAGAAGTGTCGGGATCGTGGAATCACCGTGCCTATACTTCCTGGCATCATGCCTGTTCAGACCTACGCTGCGTTTGTGAGACGAGCCAATTGGACGAAATGCCACGTTCCTCCTGAGTGGTTGGAAGCTTTGGAACCGGTCAAGAATGACGACGCTGCTGTTAGAGCTATTGGAAAAGATCTGGTCGCTGATATGTGCCGGAAAATCCTGGACTTTGGTATCCAACACCTTCACTTTTACACCATGAATTTGGCGCAAGCCACACGCATGGTGTTGGAAGACTTGTCCCTGACGCCTGAAACTTCCGGAACGCGGCTGGAGAAACCACTACCCTGGCGGCAGTCTCTAGGATTCAATCGTCGGGACGAGACGGTCAGGCCAATCTTCTGGAGAAATCGCAATGCATCATACATCAGCAGGACCGCCGACTGGGACGAGTTTCCCAACGGTCGTTGGGGTGACAGTAGATCTCCTGCTTTCGGGGAGTTGGATGCCTACGGTATTGGGCTCAAGGGCACAAACGAAGCCAACATCAAGTTATGGGGAAAGCCAAGATCTCTTCGCGACGTTACAAGTCTTTTTGTACGCTTTCTGCAAGGCGACTTGGAACGACTACCATGGAGCGAAGGTGCCATCTCTTCTGAGGCAGACATCATCAAGGATGATCTGCTACAGTTAAACACGCATGGATTTTTGACCATTAATTCTCAGCCAGCAGTTGATGGCGCGTCGTCTACGCATCCAATCTACGGATGGGGTCCTGCAGGTGGTTGGGTGTATCAGAAGGCGTACTTGGAACTGCTTGTCTTCCCCTCCATGTTCAAGACGGTGATGGATCGACTAAACGCCGACAAGAATCTCACCTACTACGCAGTGAACCGGAAAGGCGAGTTGTACACAAACACAAAAGACGAAGGTCCAAACGCCGTGACCTGGGGTATCTTCCCGAACCGTGAGATTGTCCAACCAACTATCGTGGAAACTGTCTCGTTCCTGGCATGGAAAGACGAAGCCTTCCGGCTCGGACAAGACTGGGCCAAATGCTATCCCGCAGGATCCGGAAGCAGAAAGCTGATCGAGAAGATCATGGACGAATGCTACCTCGTCAACATTGTGAACAACGATTTCCACCAAAACAAAGAGATCTTCAAGGTGTTTGAGGGTCTGGAGACCAAGGATCTCGACTTGGTCATCGAAGACACTGTACCCAGTTCCGTCGAAAACGGGACTAAGGAGGTACCGAACGGCGATGCATCACTCGGCGATGTCGAGAAAGGCCTTGCAAATGGGGAGCAACACCAAGCTCCCTCTAAGGCCAGTGCAGACGTGCTCTCCAACTGAGCGTTGTCTGTTGATTTCCTTTTTTTTATCATTTGCCTTGAATTTTTGGTTCTTATTTATACTGGCGTTAGTCTAACACACAAAGCATGATCAACTCAGCTAACTACTTGGATGCGTCCTAAGCTTGACGACGAGGACGGGAGTTTTTTCCGGGCGTGTTTAATTCAACAAAACCACAGGAATTTGGCGTGAGGGTAAAAAGGGCGATTCTTCAAACAGGAAACTGAAGAACGATACAAAAAGAACGACCAGGAGAGAAAAAAGCATCTCATTTCAACATGATACCCCACGCATGAAGAGCCAAGTAGCTCATTTCAACATGATACCCCCCCGCAGCATAGACGAGACAATTTTTTTTTTCTTTTAACGAGGAAACGATTTATGAAAAGAGACAGAGAGAAACCAAAACAAAAGACATGTTTGCTACGTACGCCATGCTACACAGATAGTGCCGCCAGAGGGATATCTGCCGGAGATCGAGGCGCCGGGAAGAACAGGTGGACGGAGCTTTTTATGTATGTATGTATGATGGAGTGGAGTGAGTGAGTGAGCGGGTCAATGACGAGAGAAGATTGGCATTGGGAGACCGAGAGAGGGAGAGAAAGCAGAGACGCGCTGAGACTATTTTCAACATACATGGTCGATGTGGCCTCGCTGGCTCTCGTTCTCTCTGTATTCTGGTCTGGCCATCCACATACAGTACGTACATACATGACAGTACATTTATCTGGGTTTCAAACCGCGTTATACGGCTCGATGGCTAGCCACCTCTGGCAGCGGCTACTACTGCATCTTCGATATAAAGACCGAGAAGCAACCGAACCAGACCAAGTCAAGCAAGTGAAGCACAGAGCAGGTAGCTTGTGGCCTGGGCGGCCAGGGTGCAACGGCAAACAATGAATCACACTTTCTTTGCACACATGCATTGCACTCGAGTCAACGGATGGCTCTATGTTTCTGTGACCCCCTCTACCATCCACTATGCATCACCCAAACAACAGGCCTTTACGCGCGCGAGTGGTATAGAAAGTAACTCGACCCAGAACCAGAAACATACCAGACACCATTGTCAACAGGTTTTTTCCCTGTACCCGTGCCCCCCCACTCCAGAGGTCGCCCTCGTGCATATTTTTGTTTCCTTGTTCCTCTTTTTTGTCCTAGTTTGTATCTCCTTTTCCGTCCCTTTGTTTACCCATGCCGTCCGTCATGATATTTTGGGGGGGCTTTTTCTTGGTCGATCACGTCGAGCACACCCGGCCCCCTTTTCCTTTTCCATCCAAGGTCCAGATACATTTCCATGTCCGTGTCCAAGCCTCTGTTTGCACCCAGAACTTGAAAGAGCCCACTGTTGGTCTCCGTAGTTTCCCATCCAAAGAAAAGCCCCTGAAAACAAAGACACAATCAAGGCATATCGTCATGAAGAAGAAAGAGACGTTCCCGTGCCACATCAATAAACACAGCAAAACATAGCACAAAAGTTTCGTAAAAGCAAAGCGTGAGAAGAGCCAGCGTCCCGCGAAGGCAAAAAGTCCCTCCCCAGCAGACGGGGACATATCGAGTGAATTTCTCTCCCAAAATAAAAAAGCCATCCTCCTCCTAAACCGGATTTTCCGTTTATTTCCCTCCCTCGAAAATAAAACAAAGGCTGGAAGTCGTGGAAGAATCGTATAACATGACAGTGGAAAAAATCGTTAGGTTGTACTTCAAATAACTGAGGGAAAGAGGTGTCCGGGTGTTGGATGCTGGACGTAGACGAAAGATCAGGTTCGTGCAGTCTCTTTTGGCAGCTGAAGACAAGGCGGTAGCGTGTTCAAATCATTGGAGGGAGACCAGTCACACCAAGTCCCATTTGGTCAATCGAGGCTTGTGGCATCTTCAATATATTTAGATTGCCGAGGACGTCATCATCATCATCTGCAATCTCTTCGCTGACCCGTCGTTGGAGCATGTTGAGTTGCGGTTCGGATTCCACCGCCTGCGTGTTGAACAGGCCGTCGCACAATGCTTCGAAGTCGTCAATGTCCAGAGCCAACTCAAGTTCGTCGTCCGGCAGGATCTGGTCGACGTCAATCTGCCACGGCTGCTTTGAGAGAGGCGACACTTGGCGCATGGCTGGCTTGTGTTTTTCGGGGGTGTGTTGTACTGACGATGGTTTGGCGGGCGAGAGTGGGGGCGACAGGGGTGGGAGACTCTTTTCCGAAGCCGAATCCGAATCCGATCTTGAAGAGTTGTAAAATGTGCAGGACGATTCAACAGTGGGCTGGGACGAGGCACTCGAATGGCAATCGTCAAGAATCGTGAGCTTTCGAGCCATGACACCCAATGTGGTCGAATCGGCGCGTTTCAAGCCGACATCGTCGTTCTTCTTGCTCGTCTCGCCCTTGTTCGATTTGGCGGATTTAGCCGGGCTTGCTTGGATGGCGGGTAGTGTAGCGATGCCGGCTACGGCAGGGCCGGATGTCCGTCGACTCGTCGCGGAGCTTGTCCGTTTCGATCTGATCATAGGCGACGACACTGACGTCCGCGGAGTGGTCATAAGAGTCGTCGATGACTGCCACGATTTGGTGCGGGTAGTCGACTGACGACTTGCTGATCTTAGACTGCCATCCACCGAAGCATACGACATGAGGGAGGGCGTCTGCTTCTTGGATCGAGGCTTCTTGACTGGCGCATCAGGCAATGATCGGAGAGGAGGAGTGTGAGCTTCGATAGCATGGAGATATGTTGTGCGCATCTCATCAACAATCTTTCGAATTTCATCTCTGCTGGTGTTGGGATCTTCGGCCATGCTAGTCCGTGCCGTAAAAGAAGACGATGCACCGCTCGAAGAAAGGTGTGAATACCTGGTGTGAGATGAGTGGTCTGAGTGTTCGTCCAGATAGGCGAGATCGAGGTTGGGCGTCGATCCGGATGCCTTGATCCCAAGGCCCCGTCTTACTGAATCTGGTGGCCGCTGGCTGATCTGATTCAGTGATAACGACGACGCCGCGTAAAGGTTGTCGCGAGTGGAAAGCAGAGGAGGTGGCCTAGGTGCCTCCGCTCGGTCTCTGTTGAGCTCTCCAATGGTCCGATCCACGCCGTTTTGTCCGTAGATGGAGACGAGCCGACTATACTCCGCCTTCCAAAGCGCCTGAATCGTTGGGTTCTGTTCCTCGTGGGGCTCGAGGAGGGACGTGGTCGATGCCATATATGGTGAAGCGAATGGCTGTATAGGGCTGGAAATTCCGAGCCCGAGACTGTTCGACCCGAGGTTTGGGTCATGAGAATGATAGTCCTGGGCAGAATGTGATCGGTGTTGGTAAGTAAAGGTTCCTGAAGCCCAGCTGGAGGATGTAGGTGGTGGTATATCACTGAGTACGGACGGAGGCTGAGAGATGGGACTTGAAAAGAAGATTTGGTCTCGGGGGGAGGTTGGAGCAGTCGCAATGAACCTGAAATTGTGAGGCTCAGTAGGCGATTTTGGTTGTGACGAGGTGTGGGAAGTCCTTCGTTCCTTGCCGCCAACAATATACTCGCCCTGTTTGATGTCTTCCAGTGTGCGATCGTAGTCCTGCTCGGTGACGAGGAGCTCTCCAGAGCTCAGGCGCCGACTTGCCTGGAGCTTGACAGGGCCATTACCTCGATGAGGCCGGTTTCCGAGCTCTGGCGGTTTTCCTGGAGCAGCCTCTTCATAGGAGAAAGACCGGAGACGATCTGGAGGTTGATTGATTTTGGTTTCCTTTGCTGTAATACCCCCGGATTTGCTAAAGAGAGAGAGTCGACCCTGTGGTGGAGCTGTCGTGTACGGGACGCTATGCAAATCCAGCTCGGGATCAGCATTATTCCGCCGTTGTCCTTTGTGCCTTCGAGGCGAGAGGAGCTTTCGTAACCGCGACTCCATATTCTGGGAAAGGCTGAAAATGAGTGGTGAAGCATTGGCCTTGAGAGATTGGTGCGAAACCCGCGCGGCGGATCAAGACTCCGATGTCAAGCAGGCACGTCAGAAGGGCGATTGACGTGCTTATATAGAGAGATGCCGGTATGTCGGCCTGGTCGCTGGCATATAGACAAGGTCAGATTCTATTTCAGAGACCATGCGCTGGACAGGAGACACAATGTTCTGGTCGAGGATAGAAGAGACACGTCTGACATGCAAGGAGAGGAGCAGGCATTGCTCTTTGAGGAAGAGGAGAAGGAGCAAATAATCTCTGACGGGCAGGACCGGGGCTATAGTTTGAGGGGAGGGAAAAGAGGGCGTTTTGAAGGTCAAACAAATCAACAGGGAAGCAGCTTGAAGCATGGGGGAGGCTGGCAGGGGACATTGACCAGGGTTCGATCTCATGACACGAGGCACAACAAGGCAGAGCAAGGCTCATGAGCTGCGGTGGTTGGTTCGTCCAAGGGCTCCACGCGGGTCCTGGAGTTTTCGGAGACTTTGTCCTCCTCAAAGCCCTCCTGAGCCTCTCTGAGTGGATGGACTGCCTCCAGTGTTGACGTCGCTAAACCGTAGGGACCCCATGAGCACGCGAGAAGCCACTGGCCGTAACGCTCCGGGGCTGGAGTCAAAACAAAACAAGCTGCCCCCCGAGGTAAACAGTGGAAGCGCGTGTTTCCTGAATGTCCTTCCCTCTCTTCGGAGAAAGCTGTCTATACCAGACGAGCCTGTGGTCGGCAGTTGGCCCATGGTCAGGGGATAGCGAGCGAGAGCCGATGTTGACGGGGAATCTGACGTGAAATCTGCGCAAAAGTCCATGGGTGACCCTTCGACGCCCAGGACTCTGGTCTCCAGGGGGCCCCAGAACAACCGATGAGAGGCCTTATCGCAATAAGCGAATTGAGGCGAGCCGGAAGAACCACATGCGCACAGATATGCAGCCACACCCCTGCCGATCACCCTCAACAGCCCCGGCACGCCTGGGTAACGGGCACACCCCAGGAGACTAGGCCTTTAACAAGCCGAGACTATTGGAATAGGGGAGCTTAGGGGGGACCTTCAGGGCTGAAATACCCATGGGGCCCTAGGGCTTGGGGCTTTTCCATGGCGTCAAATACTCGAAGGACATACCTGTACTGAGTACCTCGTGCTTGTAAACATTGCTGCTCCTCCTAACGCCACAAGAGACACATTCCGTGCAAGATACGAGGATATCTGCAGTTGTGACAGGCAATCCCGGTGGGATAACAATGGGAGCAAGTCTTTCTTTGTGGCCTTGTTCGACCCTCGTCAGCCCATTTGTTGCCCAATTCGAGCCTAGATTCTGAAATATGTATGTACTCGACCACTCCTACGGCTGTTCTTGTCTGGTGATGCTGGATGATGGCTAGCCATGGGAGCATTCGCAGTCGACGAGCCACCAAAAGGGCGGTCAAGGGCGACCAGAGACTGGTCTGCCGGACCTTCTCGGTTTCATACATATCAAGGTTGGACTTTGCCCTCCCACAGCTCCAGTCGAGTTCTGGACCAAACTGCTCGAGAACAAGTCACTCTGTACTCGAATACTGCCGAATCGGGTTACACGTTCTGGCGCTGGAAAGGTCAAGCGACCGATCAGGTGCGAGCCCACCTGTCAAAGACGTCGCAATCTCGCCAGAGTCACCCGGTAATCTTGTCCCCGGCAGAGCAACGCGTACGGTGAACAGGGGTGTGCAGTAGAAAGTACCCGTACCTAGCTGTCCAGACCACGTTGGATATCCCATCAAAATGGCCCGGAGAAGGATGAGGGCGAGGCAGGAAAGACAGTATGTAGATAGTAATGGTGATAGGGACCCCGTGGATGGCAGAACCATGCAGGCATATTCCTCGCCCATTGTTGTGTCACCTCCGGCACGACCCAGGAGTCGTACAATGTTGACACCCAGTGGCTTGCACCGCATTATTGTGCAGATCGTCTTCTTCCATCCAGACTGAGACCATTGGGATGTCTTGACCAAATTGACCAAATTGTAGAGGGACGCTCGTCATACCGAGTACTCTGCAGGGCAAGGATTTCAAAAAGGCCAATCTCAAATCGGCCGGTCAGTCTCATTGATTACTTTTGGCCCCCATTGACCATGTTTCGACCATGCACCCCTTCTTTAGCATAATTCCAGGTCGACTATATTAATCCAGTATGCCCGGAGTTGCTATGGGAATGAGGAGAGGATTCAAAGGATCGAAGGGTAAACGCAAGCGATTGCATCAGACTTGCGATGAGCAGAATCGTTGCTGTGAATGAGATGTAAGCAGATCAGAGAAAGCAAAAGCAGACATATGGATTGAACCTGGCCTGCTCAAACACCAAAGAGCTTCTAGTGAAGCTGGTGTAGATGGTGGCAGGCTCAGAATCGACGAGTAGCGTGACGACTGTGAGGTGGACACAACGAGACAACGAGAGAGGCAGAGATTCGGACGATTGGGGAAAGCGACTTCACTTTCGGCTTCTGATGAGTGAGTTACATTGGGAAATCCCATGGTTGAAAAGCGAAGGCGAAAGAGGCAGCGGAGAGAGATGATCCAATACCACCAATGTAACCTGCACCTGTGACCTGCACAGCAAAAGGTAACCTGGAGCCTGGCCCTCAGTACGGAGTAGTAACCTGGCGTGTCAGGTGTGTCCGGTAATCTGCCACCAACACCACGACCACCTGCGCAGCCTGCAACGTACAGCGCCTAATTGCCAAGTCGCAGTTGCGCTCAGCTCACGCTCACGGTAACATTCTTCTACAGTTACATACAAACAATTCCACCTTGCGCCCTCAAACGCCCTCTTACCCTGCACGGTCCTGGTGGTGCTGGAACTCTACCGAGTCCTCTTTTCACAATACATGCCCAATGCACATCCTGTCCCCGTTCCCACTGGCACCATGCTTTGTTGACGGGCGAGCCATCGGTCAACCCCCATCCCATATTACCATCCCATCGTATCCCCATCCCCCCATTCGGATCCCCGAACCAGACAGATAATTGAACCGTTATGCTACTACCATTCCAGCAATCTCCAATACCACGGCCACTACCACTTCGCTCTCTATTCTTGCTGGCATTGTGCTTGCTGCTCCTGCTACACTACCGATCCTGACCCTCTCTGACTCCATGTCACGGCAGAATTCTCTTTGTTTTCCTTACCCTTGACACCTCACCACCACTACATCACCTCATCCGGGCTGTGTTCACAACAAACAAAACCTTCCCATCAGGCCCATCATGATTCTACTCTATCCCTTGGACGATTAAGACCACTACCCGAACCTTTTGGAGCCGGTCTGTCGAGTCTCCCTTCGTCGTCACCATGACCCTCCTCGATTTCTTCCGCAGCATTCTGCGCCGGCTGGCCGCCGTGATCCTCTTTCCCTCTGCCTTCAAGACCATGGACGTCTCGGTCAAATCTCCAAACACTGAGGTTACGGTGGTCGAGACTATGGACACCCTTCATTCCTTAGACTCGCTCAAGGACGAAATCATGCGTCTCTTCAGATATCCCTGTACCATGCGTCGAATGCTGTCCATGTCCTCCTCCCTCCGCGTCCAATACAAGGCCAAACTCCAAGAGAGCGATGCTTGCATGCTACCCTCGTACTGCGAGACATTGCCGACCGGAAAAGAGACAGGGACTTATATCGCTCTCGATGTGGGTGGCTCGACTTTCCGGGTGGCATTGATTGAACTCCGGGGAAGAGAGAATCGACACGGCCCTATGGTGATCAAGCACATGTCCACCAGTAAGATTGACGAGCGAATACGTAAACTACCTGGGACGGAGTTCTTCGACTGGATGGCCAGTAGGATACATGCTATGCTGGAAGAAGAGAAGGAAACTTGGTCGCCTGATCAGACGTTGCCCCTGGGTTTAGCCTGGAGTTTTCCTATTGAGCAAACAAGTCACCGGGGAGGGAAGGTTCAAGGTATGGGGAAAGGGTTTGCTTGCCATGAAGGTACCATGGGCATGGATTTGGGCCAACTCATCGAGACCGCCTGCGCGAGGAGGAGTTTGAAGGTCCGTGTTGACGCCATTGTCAATGATTCTTCAGCCACCCTCCTTTCCCAAGCCTACCTCGATCCTGCTACCTCCATGGGGCTTATTTTGGGGACTGGGACAAACGCCGCTGTATATCTGCCGACATCGTGCATGGGGAAGTCCAAGTTCGGGATTCGGGATCATTCATGGTTCGACAAGGCCGAGCGGGTCATTACGAACACGGAAGTGTCAATGTTCGGCAAGTCGATTCTTCCAGAGACGCGATGGGACGAGATCCTGAACCAGCAGCACATAAGGCCAGACTTTCAACCTCTTGAGTACATGACTACTGGTCGCTACTTGGGAGAGCTGTTCCGATTGATCATTCTCGAGGGTGTTGCAACCGGCGAGCTGTTCAGCGGCGTCATGCCAGATGTGTTGCGCGAGAGCTATTCTTTGGACACCGAGATCATGGCCAAGCTTGAGCTGGACAAGACGAAGAGTATGAGGGGCTCAATTTCGATGATCAAAAAGGCTTTTGGGTTGAAAAGAAGCCCGACACTGAAAGAAGTTTCGTTCCTCCACGAAGCGGCCGAGTCAATCTCTTATCGAGCCTCCGCCTACATCGCTGTTGCCGTGCACGCTCTCTGGGCTTTACAAAAAGACACCGAGGTCAACCCCACAACCCCGAACGGAACTCCCAAAACCTCGATTGCGTGTAACGGCAGCGTTATACTCAAATATCCCGGCTTCAAAGATCGTTGTGAGGGTTTCATCCGACAAATGATCTCCACTGGTTCATCGCCAGAAGGCACATTTGGTTCTGAAAGGATCGTTCTTGAGCCGACTCATGAAGCAGCCATATTCGGCGCAGCCGTCGCTGTGGCACTAACCAACGCGCCCTGAAGTGATTGGAACTGAAAACTTTGCAAAACATAAACATTCGAAGCCAAGCCGAAGGGAGCCTCGCCCCGCTGTCCACGTGGCCGTTAGTCAGCTGTAATGGATCAGATCTCGCCGTCTCAGTCAGCACGCATCGGTTCAGACTAGCTTCCAGAGTACCAAGGGACTACGCAGCCTTGTAATGAACGAAGGCACCGGCAACCAGGTTGGGAGGCAAAGGGGCGGGTTGTAAACGATATCAATGCCCGGAAAAGGGACATACCTGGTCTGCTCCTCGTTGTGCATACCAATATTGTCATCGTCAACAATTCCACCAGCGCTGTTTGGACGTCACGTCCATCTTCAATACGTTCTGCTCATTTGCGGATTTGGGGGGCTGGAGTTAGGGTAGAGGTGATGCCAGATGTGGCATCTGAAAGGACCTACCGAACGTATGTTCGGAGGCTAAACTTTTGATCGGCCTGCCGCACACTTCGTGTGTGTGATAGAGAGCAATATCCATTTGGTATGGCGGTGGATCTCATACATTGCTCAAGGCAACTGGTTTTAACTGCGAGAGCGGCATTCCTTTGTGGTGGCGGCATATGCCAGTCAGGGAGATTTGCTCCCAGTCGTGGACCTCCCAAAGTATGCGCTATCTACTCGTTATCCAAAAATGTATCATCTTGAGCATCCAGTACGAAGTAGCGTCTTGCTCGTGCTCCTGTCTGCATCGTCGATGGAATCTGATGTTGTCCCTCTCTTAGCCTTACACGTCCGTCTATCCTGATTCGGGACTGTGTATAGACCAGAGTAACGCTTGACGCAGCATCAGGCCTCGAGAACAGACAGGGGTGAGAAATGATGTTTCTCAAGCCTCGATGTCGCGATCTCCCCGCAACAAGGAAATAATCTCGTACGGGAGTGTATTCGATTACCATCGGTGAGGATAGTGAGAGCAGTCCGCATGTGTCGCCAACAAGGTGTTTGGGGGGGTGAGGCTGCGGACCCGCATATCATGGTGATGTTTGATCGAGATAGATTGAGATGAGAGGAGGGGGGTGGTGATGCGGTGATGGATGGATAGTGCTTGCAACCAGACTTGCGATGGTAACGCGTGCGGCGAAGCGATGGTTGGACGGACGGGACGAGGAGGAGAAGCTTGAGCATGTGGATGCGGCCTGGAAGCGCAGATCCGGCGTCCATCTGGTGTGGGGGATTTGTTGGCTGAATGGCTGAACGGCTGGTCAGGCTGTGCCGTCTATTTGTTTCTCCTCAGTTTCCAAAAGCTGAACGGAACTTGAGTGCTGCGGCTGTCAAATCGTTCAAAACGAAGTGTCTTGCACCCGCCAATTGCGTCTTTCCCTCTCTTTATCTTCTCGTGCTGGCTGCTCCGCGCAGGCACGCAGGTTCCGCAGTTTCTTCAACTCTTCCGCAGCCTGTGTACCTCGTACAGGTCTGGGCGACAAACACCCTCCTGGCGTCTTGTCTCCTCATTCCAGCCATCAATCCACGCCAGACCACCAAGCACCTCGTCCCTCTGACCCCTGCCTCCTTGTCTCCACCTCAGCCTGACTCCCACGACGATAGCTATGGCGTCCCTTGTCCGGACTCCTCGAACGAATACCGTGCCGATACAACACGATCTCAGCGGTCTTCTGACAGCTGGTTTGATTGGTCCAGATCCGCCCAGATCCGCTACGACCAACTTCCCTCTCATCCGCTTCCCCCATCCTCTCTCCTTGATTTGTGTCTCTGCCCAACAATTTTGCTCTCTCTTTCTGCGCGCCCGCCTTTTCCGCCGATGTTTGAGCGAAGAACAATGGCTGGTTTTTCGTCTTCCCATTCACCCGTCCACGCGTCGCTCACAAGAGGGTTCTGTGATGGGGCCCTAGCATCATCTTCTACTGAGGTGCATGCCAAGTCACCTTCCACCGTGAATCGGGGTCTAGCGAGGTACGGGCTTTTTCTCGGGCTACAGACACATGGCACGGGTACCACCATCAGCACCAGCAGACGAGAAGACGAAATCTAGTGCTCATTGGAGTGAGTGTCCAGTTCTTACATCGTTCACGGTCTAAGAATGGGGACGGACTGCTCGCCGAGTCATTTTCAAATGAAGCCAACCACAGAGGCAGGTATAATGTTTCCTTCTTTGTCTCCCCTCCGGCCTCAAAGAATAGGAACAACGTTACTCAACGAGCATGTTCCCTGGCACTATCGAGTTGGCGTCAAAGATGGAGTGGTTCTGATGGGACGGACCAACGCCACCACCAACGTCACCGTCACCATTATCACCACTCCCATCAGCGGTACAATGAGGTCACAGGGAACGGCTGCCTCGTCTCTAGAGCGCAAAAAGAAGGACAGTCCTTAACTCGAATGTCTCTCTGGCTAGACCACCCTGAAAATCTCTCTCACGGGCCATTTCAGCAAGTGTGAATCCCGAGATCGCACACCGTCGCATGGTATCCATTTCGATCCTCACTGCCGCTGCCGCTACTGCGACTGCTAGCACTGCGACTGCGCGGTTTCCAACCCCCTGCAAGACTCGTACAACAGCTCTTGGACACCGGATGTCGAGCATGACGACCAGAGGGCTACAGCCCATGTACGCTGCCAGGTCATCTTGACGCGGTTCTTCGGGGAAAGCTCGCTGCCACCGCCACTGCTGCAAAGACTTCCTTCTGCCCGATGACTTGTACGACGTGGTCAGCGGTGGAACAACGTGTGCCAGAGGCGCAGGATTCTTGCGTGCTGTCCGGCCTCACCGGGACCTGTCACGGCATGGCATGAACTAGGTCGGAAGCGGAGGGAGATAAAGGAGTTTGGTTGTTGGGATGACGATGGGAATGGAGGTTGGCCCCCTTTAGATAGATATGAACGAGAAGAGGCGAGGATGGGATCACGATGCGGTTGATGGTTCGCGAATAGGTCAGTGAGCACACGATCAACGCACTCACAAAGATCAGTTTTCTCTCTTCTCTTCTCTTTTCTCTATCTCGTTTATTCTATCTGTTTACCTATCGTAATAAGTATTCATGGCAATATAGTAGTACATCATTAATCATCAATCATCAATCTATCCATCAATCTATCTAGCTAATACATAATACATAATACATTGTAATACATACTTACTCGTTCCGAGATGGTATACGAGTCAATTCAAATCAAGTCGAACCAAGTCGAACCAAATCCAGTGTGGTTTTTCGCGGGCCCGTGGCTCCCGTCTTGCGTCTTTTATCTTGCGTCTTTCGTCTTCTCATCAAGCATGGGGGAAAAGAAAACCAAAGGCTTCATTATCTTTGCGTCGTCGTCGTCATCATGAGCATCCTTGTCCGTGTCTTTCCGTGTCCCATCTCGATCTCGATCACCATGTCCATGTCCATGTTCATGTTCACGTCCACACATGGATCCACGAGCACTAGCGGCATGGTGTTGACTTCATCGCAGGTACCACAGGTGTCGAGCATGCCCCGTCCACCAGTGACTTTCCTTTTCTGGCTGCTTCGGTTGCTTGTTGGGTCCGCGCTAGACTCGGACGTGGTGGAAAAGACGTGGATAGAACAGAGAAATGATTAAAACAAGTTCACTCTTCTGGGGGGCTTTTTTAGTCGTACATGCGGCTCCGCCACGGGTATCACACAGGATGGGGTATATTCTGTTTTCTGTTTAGGATATTTTGATCCTCTCTAGTCTGCCCGGTTTCTGGGTTTCTTGATCCTCGGTGTTTGGTGTTGGGTACATGATAAGGTTGGTTTCGTTTAGTTCTCAGAATCCATAATTGCTCCCGCACGTCGCTTGTAGCGAGGGATCTGCGAAGACGAGGGATTGGACACAGCCACAGACGAGGCGTGCAGTCACACCATTCCTGATCGGGTTAAATACCTCCATTTAGGAATATTACCTAAGTAGGCACGTAGGTACGGATTCGTACATTGTTGGTATTTGCATATCGCGCAGATTGTTGCTTGGCAGGTTCCTATTCCTTCCTCATCTTCCTTGTTGCCTCCCTTCGCCCCGAAGCGGGACGGGAGTGGAGAGGAGAGGAGCCCAGCGAGATGGTGACAAATGGCCGCTATGTCCCGCTGATCAAACGCTCACTGAAGAAAGTCTGTGTGGTGTGCCGCGAAGGTTCAATCACGGAGATAGCACTTCTTCGAGTCCCATGATATCTGGCCGTCCAGATGGTTCGCATTTATGGAGGTAGCGGCTCATGAGTTGTACTAGGTCGTCATCTGCAGGCGGATGCGAAGACAATGCACCATTTCGGTTCCGCCGCTCGAAGAATATGTGCCTTGCCAATCCGAGAAGCCACTCTCGAGGGCTTGCCTCTTCGCTGGGTGGTGGCACCGAGGGGCCCGCTGCTGCTTGCGCTGTCTGTTCATGTTGCGCAATTGACTCAGACGTGGTTGTCGATGTAGCCTGGACACCTAGACACGCCATCCAAAGGACGATTTCCTCGTGTTGGTCCCGCCAGTCTTCCTCCGACTCCACGAGCGCCGAGAGCGCCTGGCAAAGGCGACCAACAGCAGACCAGGAGTAATTAGTAGGATTTCTGGGCGGTTCAGTCTGTACTCGGGATCTCCTCGCAGCTTCCGCGTCCGCTATGACGATCAAGAAGCTCTGCTTGACGCACTCCGACAGCAAGCCCTGCAATCCGTCTCCTGGAGAACTCGGTGCCATGGAAAGTAGTCGATGGACGATGGCATATGCTCTTCTCGTAGCCCATTGCTCAATGGGAGATCGGCTGAAATTGTGGATCCGGTTGAATTGCTGCACTTGGAACCACTGTATCGTGTCGACAAGGATGGGCGACAATTCATGTTGTACCAATGATCCGTACTGAAGCAGACCGGCGCCACTGGGGATGATTCCGCTCTGAGCCAGAGCCGGAAGTATTTCGTCTCGCATTTGCTGGCGTGGCAGCATGCCAGGATCCCAGGTAAGAGGCATCAAGGGATTCTCCCCAGTCCCGCCGGCTACCAACAGATCCCACAGCCAGCACACCAGACGCATGGGCGGTTCCAGGATCTCAAGGCCTCCGACTGATTGAACAAGGTGCTGAACCATCCGTAGATGTGTCCTAGCTCCCTCGAAATTGTCCACGTATCTTTCAAACGTCGACAACGCCTTGAGATCAAATATGAGACTCTCGTTAGGCTGTGGTGCACCGGCCAGATGGTGTCGCAAATGCTGAAGAGCTTTGCCCATGCAATATTCGGGCGAGTCACGTCGGTCAAGCTGGAGCCGCAACACGTACTTTAGAAATCCTGTGCTTGCGGCGAGCAGCGAGAACATGTGCATCCTGTTTTCAAGGCAACCCTGGACGATTCGATCGATGGTCGCGAGACAGGATTCAGAGCTTGATATTGCCTCGTCCAGCACGTCCAAGTCCCGAAACACTGCCGGCAGCCACGACTCGACGGCGTACCTGAACGCATTATGCGACCACCACGCATCATCCGGCGACTCGAGATAGGTGAATGGATCAGTTGAATTTCCTGTGATCTGTGTCATTGCGGCAGGTGAAGGAGCCGCAGATGTCTCGGCAGAGCTGGTCTCGGAGAGGTTACCTTGCCTTCCCCAGCCCACGATGCTCTGCGCGTGAGTCGCCTCAGTTTGGGCACTGTAGAGCCTCTGTTGACGTCGCAGTGCAGCCCGCCATTGACGAGCATGGCTAGTAATGGTTCGAAGTTCCTCTCTCTCTTGTCGGGTGGCGGAGAGTCTCTCAGAGTCTGGGGTCCGGTTGACCCAAAGGAAATCTGGGTTAGTGCCACCAGGTCGTCCTCTTCCTCGTCGCGTCGACATTGTGCGGTATGCATGGTACAAGTTCCATAATGCATGTCCACGGTAACGACAGGGAACCGCAGGGCATATCTAGTTTGCGCATCTCTGGTCTTCTTCCGAATGAAGCCCGACAGGGAAAGGAGTAAGCCTAATCGATCGAAGGCCAAGGATGCTTCCATTGTCGTAGGTGTGAGATCGAAGCAACCTCGTAAAGGCACGGGTGCGACAGATCGAGGTCTGATAGTGGTCGACATAAAGACTCAATGGGACCGTACCGCAGGACCCCTGCGGAAACGCCTTCGAGTACGAGTATTGCCTTGCAGGGGTTTGGAAACGGCCCTGCCGGCATGCAGGCGACCGGGGTTGGAGCTTGCGCTGTGAGTGGTGCTGTCTGAAGCTGTACCCATGTCGCTCCGCCAGCACGCGAACCAACCAGACCTGAGCAAGCTTGTACCCTTCTGGAGTTTTTCTCGGATACGTTCCGCCTCGTAGTCCCAGATCATTCAGCCTAGCGTCGCACCCCTCTTCCGTGCTGCCTTCAGGATCCGCCATTTTTGGAATGTCAAATCGTACAACATCGTCCGCAATATCATCCACGCCGTCGTTCTCTTTTCCAAATTCTCATAGGACAGCCCCGGTTAGCCATGGAAAGAGGCGCATTTCTTGACTGCATCGTCCGATGCCACAATCCCGAGTTGCGTCAGATACCGCGGTATTGGGCCATGGCACAATGCAATGCAGCTAGGTCCTCCGACTTTACTGCGAAAAATTTAGTAAGCCGCCGGGCCTGTTTGGGATTTCCGATGATTGCTGCCAAGTTGTCACCTTTTTGTTCCCTCGACCCGCAGGCCCTCTGAACCGTGTTTAAGAAAGGTAGTAGACACATTCCGTTCAAGGCTGTATATGACACTGCCGGGTAGGGAAATAGACAGAAGTATGGCCACAGCTGCATGCCATTGGCAGACGTCACTTTCATCGTCGTGGAGCACGGCATCGAAGGATACTTTGGAGCATGTTCGTAGAGGAATATTTTTTTTTCCTCGACTTCGAGGATGGCGAACGGCGTAAGGAAATGAGGGCTCGTTGTACGAGCAAAGCTGATGCTATTGTCAGAGAAAACCTCACGGCCATCGTACAACTAAAGCCGCCGGATATCTCGACCGAGCTTGACCACTCCGAATGGACGTGTTGATCTAACCATATTACTTCCCGAACTCAGCTTGAATTAGCATGTGGATAAGGTCCAGTCGCTTTGCGTCAATTACAGAAGATCTTGATGGTGACGTTCGTGCAGGCTCCGACATGATCTGATAAAAACGGAGCGGAGGCGACCTTGACCCTTGCAGAGGCGGTCCTTCAGCCTTGCTGCGAGGTGACGAGGAAGACCTTTGAGATCTCAGATTGTTCTGGTCAGTCTCGTAGGAGGGGGGGCGAGATTCTTGGTGTCATAGTATACATGTTACGAACCACTCATGGGGACTTTGAAGACCTCAAGGCCTACAGGTTTGGGTAGCAGCCGCAATTGAAGCGAATAAGAAGCAGACAAGGGCGAGGATGGTAGATTGATGAGCATCCGTCCAGCAATGTTCGATATTTACTCAAGCACAGGAAGGAAAAGCACTGGTTTAACCAATTGCCGCTTTAGCCGCCCCTTCAGAGTTTTGTCACCTGTCACCTGCGGTGGCGAAAGCAGCGAGGCCATCATCTCCTTTACCCGCGCACCATCTCGAAGATACTCGCACAAAGTCGGCGGAATGGACAGGAAAGTAAGAGATGGGAAAGGAACACACCGAGGGAAGGCGAATGATGTGAGGGTGTTGCACTGCAAGCACAATGGATGAATGTTTTTGCCAACATCTCCCCTCTTTTGGTGGCCCGTCCGAAAGTTACCGATGCCCTCCAGATTGACCAGTCATGCAAGGCACACAATTCCCACAGTGACGGATGGTCGACAGTGGAGACTGAGGGGAAGACCTCAGATGTTTTCAATGTTCAAGGCTATGGTGTAGACCTTGTTTGTGACTAGTAAGTTGCTTTCAACCACCCTCTCGGCGGCTTAGGTATACACCATTGCAAGGTGCCCTCTATGGCCTCCATCAAGGCAAATTGTCGCAAGGTCATCTGCATTGGGCGAAACTATGCGTATGCACTCTCCCGCCTCTCAGCGGTGTAACTTTGTGAAAATACTGACATGCTCTGGTGTAGTGATCATATAACCGAGTTGTCATCTGCGCGTCCGGCACAGCCTTTCTTCTTCCTCAAGCCACCATCCTCTATCCTCCTACCAGACAAAGGTCCTATCATCCGCCCTCGCGGTGTGAATCTGCACCATGAGGTTGAGCTTGGCTTGGTTATTGGAGAAACACCGACCCCGCTGAAGAATTTGCAAGCGGACGATTCCCGGTTCCTCGACCACATCAAGTGCTATTTCCTGGGTATCGATGTGACTGCTCGAAATGTACAGGATGAAGCAAAGAAGAAGGGTCTTCCCTGGTCTATCGCCAAGGGTTTCGATACCTTCCTGCCTATCAGCCACGAGATCCCCTTCGACCGCATCCCAGATCCTCACAATGTGCTGCTGTGGCTGAAGGTCAACGGCGAGGTCAAGCAAAAAGATAACTCCAACTTGATGTTGTTCAATATCCCCAGGATGCTGAGCGACATCAGCAAGGTCATGGCTCTCGAAGAAGGCGACATTATCTTGACAGGAACTCCGAAAGGCGTCGGGCCGCTCAAAGGTGGAGATAGGGTGGAATGCGGTCTGGAGGCGGATGGACTTGAAGTGGTCGAGGCCAAGATCAATGTCGATGTCGTGGATGACGAGTCCGAAGATGGATATATCTTCAAGGAGACTTGAAACTTCCAAAAAGTTATGACCAGTTATAAAGTGGATGCCCGGCCTCCTCAATCATCAGCGCCATTGAATGTTTCCATGCCATCTACCCGTGCAAGAGGTATTGCGCAGTGACTGCATTCGGCCAGCTACTCTTCGTCTGTGGTAGGTAGAATAGGGATCTCTGGTGGAGGTGGCAGAGGTAGTCCTCTCTTTCTGTGCCCTGCCCGTTGACGTACTCTCGTGGGAAATGAAGGCTTGGGGTCATTGTGCAGAAACCCCTCGTCATTGCTGCTTTCTTCCATTAACTCTGCATTTTGTCCGCGGAATGACACAAGTTTGGGGGAGATGTGATGATTTGGAGGCGCTGTCGGGCGAGGCTTCGGTTGCTTTGCTGAGTGATCAGTTTCGTTGACGACGGCTCTCCTCTTGTGGCTTTCACGACGCTTTGCTGAGAAGGTCGTGGTTTTTGCGGCGCCTGTCTCCTGGGGGTTTGCAGTCACCTTTGCAGATTTCTGAGGCGGCGCTCGCGGTTCCGTGGCGTCGACAGCCTGCCGCTGTCTCTGCGCCTCATCGGGGACCTTGCCAGGATTGGTCTTGAGCCTCGATCCCTGAGTGATGTCCCGTCTTGTCCTGTGAGCCGGCGGACCTCTGTTTGATTCGACTTCGTGCCGTTTTTCCGTCTGCGTTTGGAGATTTTGTTTCTGGGCCACGCGTTGGCTTCGTCGCAGCGGTGCATCGACAGTGTCTCGTGGTACTTTGCCGTTTTTCGCCTCCTTGCCCACGCCATCGACACGCTGTCCTGACTTACCGACTGCAGCAAGCCCTGCGTCTATCTGTCTCGGACGCGAAGTTTCCACCGATGTGTCGTTGGCAAGAAGTTGTGAGCATAGATTTCCAAAGGCGGTAACGTTGGCCCAAGTCCATCCACTCGAGTCAAGCCACTGCTGACACTGTTTTCTATGGGTGGTTTGATAGAGTCCCTCCACAAAATGGTGTATGATTGTCTCTTCGAAGTCCTGCGGCAAGGCTTGGACGAGTTCCTGACCTTGGTCGTAGTAATGGTCCCAGCCGTCAAATCTTCTCTGCCGGAGGGTCTTGATCTCGGCGAGCCGCGACGCCTCTATGGGGAGTGGTGACAACATTCTGAGGGACGGCTCCGCTGCGCGGCACTCATAACCAGCATAGCTGATCGTGTGAGCATTGGCGTCGAGGTCGAGATCGTTTGGGAGTGTCATCTCTCGAGCCTGCTGAGGTTCAGAACGGTCAGGGAGGGAATCCCGAACCTGGACCGATTCATCTGCAAAGAGGTCAGCAGTTTCTTGTGAGCGATGTGTACCTAGCTCATAAAGAGGGCTCATACGCTCTGCAGTCTCTGAAACGTGGCTGACTGAGTCTATTACAACGATGCCAGCATTTTGATCACTCCAGAGTTTGTTCACGCGACTTTCCAACACTTTGACGAGTGCGGTATCTGCCTTGGAATCAAGAGCTCTTTGCAGATTCTCGAGGGTTTCCGTCTGCTTCTCGACAATTGCTATTTGTGTCTGCTGGACCGTTTGTGCGTCGTGATAGGACGCCTTGATATCTGAAGTCTCGGTTTGCAACGCTCTGCACGACTGTCGCACTGCCCGTAGCTCACGAGCCTGGTCGTTGAGCCGAGTTTCCTGCGTCTCGAAAATGGCAGAGGCTTTCGTATCGTGGTCGACAATGGACACCTTGATGGGCTTGACCTCGTTTTCGATGGCAGTCTGCCGTTGGGTCGAATCTCGTATCTCTTCACGCAACATTGCGACCTCTTTGACACATGTCTGGAGCTGCTCGTGTAGGAACACATTTTCTCGACGGATTTGATGGGCTCTAAGTAAGTCGATAGCGTAGTTGACCGTCATCTTTCGATCTGAAAGCGATGTGACGGGCATTTTGAGCGTTTGAAAGACGGAGGTTTCTCTGAAGAAAAGAAAACCTCGTGCCAAGTTCTCCTCCCTTGCACATCAAAGACCCTCAGACATTTTTTGTGGTACATCAACCTTTTGATTTTCTACCTATCTATCGCAAAGCAGCAAAGAGAAACCATCATTCCTGCGTTGTACATGAGAATGCACTTGGAATCTGTTGAGCGACAGCCAACAATAATAGTCAGCTAAGCATTAAGAAGCAGAAACGCCTGCGAAATCTGCCCACATAAGCAACATTCGACCGTCACGTTCTGATAGTGTCCGTCCTCATGATAAGAAAAACATGACTTTTTTTCGTGAGCGACAACATTGAGCCAAGCAGTCGGAGACAGGCTTCATCCCACTTTTCTCGAGTCGTTGCTACATCTGAACAAACGCCATCCACATGCCCGATGAGAGTGATTAGATGAGGTCTGGACAAAAGTTAGTTTCCGTGTAGATATCAAGACAGAGGTAACATACCAGCAACGTTCATTGGCATCTCTTCGATTTGAGTGCTGTAGAATTGTTCGATTTCTCTCATCATGCGAACATCGTCGGCGGTGACAAAGTTGATGGCAACACCTTTTCGGCCGAATCGACCACCACGTCCGATACGATGGATGTAGTTTTCGCGGTTGGCAGGGAGATCGTAGTTGATGACCAGTGAGACTTGCTGCACATCGATACCACGCGCCAAAAGGTCGGTGGCAATCAACACTCGCGAGGATCCTGATCGGAACTCCTTCATGATCACATCACGCTGAGCCTGCTCCATGTCGCCATGCATGGCAGAGACTGTGAAGTCACGAGCCTGGAGCTTGTCGGTGAGCCAGTCGACCTTTCTTCTCGTGTTGCAGAAGATGACGGCTTGTGTGATGGTCACTGTCTCGTAGAGATCAGACAGCGTGTCGAGTTTCCACTCTTCCTTTTCCACCGCAATGTAGAACTGTTTGATACCCTCCAATGTCAACTCGGCCTTTTTGACGAGGATGCGGACCGGGTCGCGCATGAATTTGGTCGTGACCTCCAAAACGTCTTGGGGCATCGTGGCGGACAAGAGGACGACCTGAGTGGATTGGGGAAGGAGTTGGAAGATGTCGTAGATTTGTTCGGTGAATCCGCGCTGCAATCTGTTAGCATCTCCAAGGTGGTGATGGTGGTGGTGGCGACGACGACGTCGAGCGCCAATGTGGCCAAAGCACTTACCGAGAGCATCTCGTCAGCCTCGTCCAAAATGAACATCTTCATGCTGTCCGTCTTCAACACCCGACGCTGGATCATATCGTGCACACGACCAGGAGTACCGACAACGACCTGTGGGCCGTCCTGAAGCGCCTTCATGTCCTCGCGCACATTTGTTCCTCCGATGCATGCGTGGCATTCCACATTCATAAAGTCTCCGATCGCGACAACCACCTTTTGGATTTGCTGCGCCAGCTCACGCGTCGGCGCCAGGATCAGAGCCTGGCATGCCTTGAGGTTGGGATCGATCTTTTGCAAGCACGAGATGCTGAAAGTAGCCGTCTTTCCTGTTCCGGATTGCGCCTGGGCGATCACGTCCGATCCTGGTCGGTTTCGGTCAGTTTTTGACACAATTTTTTGCGACGACGACGTACCTTTGATCACCGGCATGATTGCACGCTGCTGGATAGCACTAGGACGTTCAAACCCGTACGCATAAATTCCTGCTGCAATTAGCATCTAGAAGAATGTCGAGAGGGGCAGGGGAAGGGGAAGGGGAGACGAAGGTAAGGTGCGGCGACATACCTCTGAGCAGCTCCGGTTTGAGACCCATAGCATCGAAAGAATCGGTAACCTCATCGTAGTTTGACTCAATTTGAGACTCTGGGACTTCTTCAAGACCTTTGTCGGCCATGATTGCGATTTGGTTGATTTGGTTGCTGAATTTGCTGTGGTGCACAGAAATTTACTGAGAATAGGGATTTTCACGCCTGTAAAGAGCGTGAATGTCAGTTGAGAGTAGTGTGAGTTATGGGAAGAAAGAATCTCGAGAGCGAGATTTGTATGTTGAAGATATGAATGAGAGGAGGCGTCTGGAGAAAAGAAAATTTTGAAATCGAATCATCCAGTCGTAGTGTCACGTGATAGGCTTGGCGGGTGTGGCGACTCACCTCGTGACTGGGCAGCCGCCGAGGCTGAAGTTGCCAGCCTCGCCCCCGTCCACCCCAGCCTCAGCCTCAGGCTCCACCTTGATAAAAACACCGTCTGCCTCTGAGGCAACGGTGGTGTTGGTGGTGGTAGTGGCGGCGGCGGCCTCCTCCTTCACTATCGCCATCTGTAAGTATAGATACCTTCCTGAACTTCAGCTAACAAACATACCAGATGCTACTGGATTGGCTGCGGCGTCCCTCGCGGCTACACTATGTTAGTATATACCACCTGCGTAGGTTACCACTGGCGTACCCTTCTTTACAGCCTCTGATGATCACGTTAGTATATCAGGCGTACTTCAAGGATAATACATACTCTTCTTCTCCCTCTGCCTCTTCCTTCTCGCCTAGTATATATCAGTAGCTCCATGTCAATGGAGGGCGCTGCCCATGACCCCGTTGGACATGGCGTCCCTCAGAGCTAGGATTACTTACTCGGCTCTTCTCGCTCTTCTTCTCCCTCTTCTCACTCTTCTTCTCCCTCTTCTCCTCCTCGCGGAGGAAGGGGGCTGGGCGGGAGGGCCGCGCAGGGAGGGGGAGGTACCTTGCTGGAGCACGTCAGCATCTATCCAACTTTTGTCATGTGGGGGAGACTGTAGGTCTCGAGAGCATCGCAAGATATGGAGGTGACACGAGAGGTGAGACCATGTAGGTCAGTTTCTCTGGGAAAGGCAAGACAAGTGTCTGCCTCCTCGGCGACACCCCACGAGATAGAGCGGCTGTCTGAATCCCAGTGTGTGTTTCTTGCTCTGGTGGAATGCGAATGTGAAGTGAAATTCAAGATGAGAATTGCAGATCAAATGTACTGGGTCAGTGAGGGAAATGGGTTCGAGGCACGACTGAGGGATACAGTAAGCAAAGCATTGGCCTGTTTGTAGGAATGCGGGCATAGGCAGCCCGTCTTCAACATTCAATGCACGTAGGTTGACTTGGTGAACTTGAAATTTGATCTGAAGTCTGAAGTGAAGTTTCAAATGAAATTTGAACTGAAAGACTGGTAGATTTCCCAGAGAAAATAGTATGAAAGGCTCGATAGAAAGGAGCAAGACACGACAATGTTCTTTCCTCATGCCATACGAGCATCTCGCAGCAGTCTCAAACGTCCAGTGTGTGTTTCTTGAGTGATGAGAAGTGAAACCAATCTCTCACCAAACTCGACACGGGGAAATGTACAGTACTTGCAAATTGAGGGTGAGGTACAACACAATAGAGACACTTACGAAGATGTTAATGACTTGATAGGCGGCACGCGAAAAATTCCACGACATTTTTGTGATATTTTGGTATAGAGAAGAGGAGAGAGTGACCAAGATGTGAGGATCAGGGACCTCCTTCTACAGACCCGTGACCCTCGCTGGACTCTCATTCGTCAACCCCACTCCACCGCACACCATAGACAGACTCTACTTGATGAGCCCTTCGATGCCATTCATTGTCAAGTGCACCCGTATATACAGACAAAATCCCCCAGCTTTAGATCAGCAGTCTTGACGAGCGAGTGTGCGTCCACTTCGTCTGGTGGTGGACGGTCCAGTCTCGCTGGACCGGGTAGTCTCAATGGGTCGCTTTCCGGCGTTTTTCAATAAGAATGCTAACCCTTCAAGCCTAGTTGCTGTGTCTCCTTACCTGGACGAGTCCAAAGTGTGAGTTACCTATGATTATATCTTGCTTTGGAAGTATTCCTATAAGAGTTTCTCGGGCAGCCAATCACGACAAGCCATTTGCTGCTGCAAGGGTCTCAGCCCTAGGATGCAAGTGGAAGCCCTGGACGCCTTAGTTCCTTCCTCGCCCTTTCTTTCAACTACATCTTTCGAAGATGAATGAGTGACGCTGCGAGCTTTGGAAAAGCGCCATTATGTGCCGCCAATAGCATTGCTCTCGACGCCACCTCACTGGCTCGCTTGAAGCCTCGAGATGTCTCTGACTCATAAGAAGGATTCGTAATGACCTCCATCGAATTCTAGGGCGACATCAGGCCGGAAGCGCCACCACCTGTTTAGGCAAAGCCAACTCCGAATCCTCAGTGAACATGCCACCAAGGCGATAACACGGCTGCAACTAATAAAAATGCTCGACAACAAGTATTTACCCTGACTCGGGACCGCAAGTTCAAGCGCAAGTTCGCTGGATACTCGAGTAGAATCCAACACGACTCAATTTAGCTGGCACCTTTTCTCTATTGTATGAATGCGACTCTTCTTGCTATTCTATACCTCGCTGTCGCCTACGCTCCTAAGGCAATACCAAGGAGATCCTGAGTTAAAAGCCCCCTAATGGGCGAGTATCGCTAGCGAGAGCGGCGAGCGCCAGGAACCGCGGCCGATAACGTGCAGAGGAGGAAGAACAGCGATATCAAGAGGTACTGCAAAGAGTAACCTGTGGCACAGACAGGGACCACAGGGACAACGAGAGAATTCAGCGCCTATGGAAAACAATCGATAGGAAGGGGTGGAATATGTGCTAGGGACCCCTCCGCCATCGAATGCGCCTTAGTAAAGACATCTACCTATCCAGACACCTGAACAGCTGCTACCACGCCGCAGTCCTTCTAGAGACAGACAGGTGTAGAATAGCAAGAAGAGACGGATTCATACAATAGAGAAACTGGTGCCAGCTAAATTAAGTCTTTCTAGATTCTACCCGAGTATCCAGCGAACTTGCGCTTGAACTTGCGGTCCCCCCGAGTCGTTCATTCGCCCTCCATTGCAGGACATTCCAAGTAGCACAAAATATACAAACCCCCCATGTCCGACGGGGACAGAAGACAGACAGATAATTACTGTGTGATCAAGGAGGCCTCCACAGTCCTATCGTGCGATGTCGGCCTCTATTTGCGAATGTTCGCTGTCGAGAAAACCTACTACACTCTTGTGTGAGAACGGGGAAAAAAAAAAGAAAAAAGAGCAGCCACCAAATTAGATATAAATTTTGATACATATACATACAATACATTCAATCGATCGCCGGCAAAGATAACAAACAAAAATCAAACAGCAAAGATTATCTACATGCAACTACCTACCGTCCCTAATATGAACACATCAACTCAGAAGCAAGCCGAGCAGTGACCCCCCCTTTTTTTCCTTTTCCCCTGGGTCATCCTGCTCGGTTTCTTCCCATTTTTACCTCATCCATCCAGTCAGTCAATCAATCAGTCAGTCAGTCCAGTAAGGCGCTATGACTTCCCGTAATCGTTGATTCTCCCCTTCCCACTGGTCATCATGGGAAAAGCCATGTCGGCTGACAAAACCCTCTTCTCTTGCCCTATATAGGACGTTGCTGGATATGCCCCCAAAGACCCCACCCAACCTCTATTCTCGACCAGACGCCCCTGATTAAATACTGGTTGTTCGTATCCGCATCTCGGGTTTTCAAAAGAGATCTCTCCCCTAGAAGGCTTCTTCAACGGGACAGTCGACGCTTTCGTGCCCGTCACGCTCACACAATGCACACCACTTCTCCGGGTCGATGACACCTGTCGTCCGCCCAGCTAGCATGCCGGCTTGTGCACCTGTTCCCTCTATAAGTTTGGCTGGTGCTTGGACTGGAGCAGCCGTGGATGTGGATGGAGCGGGAAGCGGAGGATTTGCCATTCTCACACTGGGAGATTCTGGGGTTTCTGATGTAACTGGTGGAGAGGGTAGATCTTCTGTAGGCGGCGGGTTGGGGTTGACGTCGGACGGTGAGGTGATGGTGTTGTTCGTCGACTTTCGACTCATAAGGGGCGCTGGTCGATCTGGATCCCGTGGTCCTGCTGTCACTGCCAGCACCTGTCCAGCATGGTCGACATGCTCTTCATCATCTCCGGGATGGCCCTCGAGACCGACGCTTCTGTCATTTTGGTCGTCCATATGGGACGAATCGACGTCGGTCGTAGTCTTCTTGCCTGGGCCAAACATGTTTCCACAGGTCAAAATATCATGCCCGCCTTCTTCGCAGATCTCGCACCACAAAACTGCGCTTTCAGATGTAGACACATCCGTTACGCCATCGTCAGACCTCTCTCGTTCCCTGACGCCAGTGTCATAATCGAGACGTTGTCTCACTGGCGACGCTATCCCCGAGGGAGCATCATGCCAGGCTTCCTGGCCCGTTGTTTGACTGTCTTGTCGCTCATGACCACTGGTTCCGTTTCGTTTCACAGGCCCGAGGACAACCGTCCGCTGGCTTCCAATGGTACCGGTGCTGAGGTGCTTGCGATCCAGTTCCTCGCTGTTGCTCCTAGAGTGCCCAGTGCGCATACCTGTATGGATGCCAAACGCAGCTCCGCCCATAGGCATAGGGAACTTTGAAAGTGTGACGCTATTTCGTAGCTGTCTGACCTCTTGCACAAGTTCTTCCTCATGAGCACTCTTTTGTTGCAGAAGAACCTCAAGATCGCGAATTTGTTGTTGCAGAGCATCTTCTCCGCCATCGCCAACCGGGGACGAATCTTTCCTTTGATGTCCGTTGGCCACCGCAATACCGTTTGGTCGTTTAGGGCTGGTAGCATTCAAATTTTGGATAATGGCTTTCAATCCCCTGATTTCATCATCCTTTGCGGTTAATTGTGCTTCGAGCTCTTGGACTTTGGACGAAGACGAGTAGCCACCACCACCATTCAGCTGCTCTTCCGTCTTCATCCTCTCCTTCTCCCGCCTTAACTCGCTTCTCGATCTCTCGACCTCGCCCCTCAAGAATTCCACCTCGCCACGCGCCTCAGCCTCGCCGCGCCTTGCATCCTCGAGGCCTTCTTCAAGCTCCTGCACAAGCTCTTCCAACTGCTTAAGTTGCTGTGCGACGGTCTCGACATCCTCACTTCGATCCTGTAGATTTCTCACTTCTTCGAGCAACTCATCTACTCTCTTCTCGTAGACACGTTCCGTTTCGGTACTCGCCATCTCCAACGTATCGATCGTCGAGCGGAAATCAGCACGGTTAGCATCAAATTCCGCCGTGAGCAATTTGATCTTCTCATTCTTCTCCCGGAGGGCTTCTCTTAGGGAAACGACGTCACGGGGGAGGTCGTCTTCATCATCCTCTCGGGCCCGTTTCTCCGCCTGCTGATCTTCCTCCAGTCCAGGAAGGAGTTTTTGTATCTCGTTGAAGTTCCGTTCCATTTCGGCAAAACTCGTGCCTTGGTCATGTATTTGGCGTTTCGCGTTTTCCAATTCTTCATTCAATTCGCGAATCTTGGTCTCGTACTTTTCCACGTTGCTTTCGGCCGTCTTTCGGCTGAAATTGGGTGTCGGTGTCGGTGTGGATTCCGCCTCTTGTTCGGGGATCTCATCGAAACTTGACTCGGGGCCTAACGAGGGACTTGCAGATGCAGTCGAGCTGCCCTGTCTCAGGCTCTGGCTGAAGTTGTTGACACCGCGTTGCTGGCTGGCTTTTGCGTAAGGCCCGCCAGGGCCTCCTCCATTTGTGCTCTTTGCCAGACCGATACCGCTGGGTCGTGTCTTGGGTGTGGCCAGCGTCCTGGGTGTCGGAGTATTGACTTTGCGCAGCGGACTCGAGGGTCGCGGTAGTGATTCTCTTCTGAGGGGTGGTTTGAGTGCCGGGCTGGCGGCACCCGATGATCTCAGTCCACCGGGACCTATGGACTGACTGAAGCTGGGTTTGACAAGACCCGTGGTCACGCCGGGGGTCCGCCCACCCTGATTGAAGCTGGCAAGTCTGTTGGTGGGTGTGCCCGGGCCAGGACTTGCTCTGACACCACTGAGCCCCAATCCTGATCCTGCACTGCCAGCACTGCCGGGTTTCTTCACGGCCTTCTCCAAGGGTAGAAATATGCCCGAGCCCGGGATCGTGGTTCTGAAGTAGTATTTTCCATCCACCTCGCCGGAATTTTTGCCGCGAGGCGCATATTCTGTTGCAAGTTGTACGCCCGCAAATATTCCCTTTTTCCCAGTGACAGGGCCGATGAATTTGACGACACCATGCATGTCGCCGGGGACCATGACAGTATCCCCGATGCTGATGGCCGCCATGGCGGACTAAGGAGGCTATTCAAAACCCAGGGGAATCGGGCTCGAGGCAAATGCCAGGACGGATGGAACGATCAGGCCGATGAGCGCTCGTTGTCTCGAAGTATCGCGGGGTCGAGCGGCGATTCAAGCCACGTTGGACGTTTCAGTGCCCATCGAAGAAGTAACGGGTGCGGGCTCGGCGAGATCTGCAACTCGCCAGAACTTGTGGAGGACAAGCACCTCGGGTTGAGCAGACTGAGGCAATTCAGCGAAAGGCTAGGAAATCCAATCTTATTAGATGAGGGCTGCGCTGATATGAACCATCGACCGTAGGTGTCAAGATATGGTGGCTGCTGACAGGGACAAGAGATAGGGAAAGGGGAGGCAGGACGAGTGCGTGTGGTGTTGGTGTCGCAGCGGTAGGCGGCGGTTGGTTGTACGGGTCAAGGCAGAGGGATAAACAAAAGACGTAGGGGCAAGAACTAAGCATAGTTTTGGGTCGCGCCGAATCGCAGGTTAGGAATACGAGTAAGCTGAAGCATTGTTGTTATGTACGCATTGGTGAATGGTGAATGGTCATGGAAACCCGACCAACATGGGGGTCCTTTTTTTCTTGACAGGGTCGCAGGTTGGTGCCACGGGGTGCGCAGGCACCGCAGGCGAGGAAACGAAGGCGCCAAAGGGGAGCGACTGGCGAGGAAATTTGTCTGATTTGCTTAGCGAATCTGGAGCTAAATTCAACCCTCCAGTCACTGAGCTGCTGGCCCGCTGACGGCCGCTTTGGCGACAGGGATACAGAGTGCCGGGGCTCCAGGCCAACACGATCCCACTGGACTGGTCCATCCGGGCTTCTGAGAGCCAGATGGCAAATGGCAGATGGCAGATGGCCCAACATCCTCGCTCGCCTATTCCCACCTCCGACCTCCTCACCAGCGACC